TCTATTGATTTGCTTATGTACTGTTTATGAATCCAGCACTAAACAGGTTACATGATCACTATGTAGTTGACAGACTAAGCATAGTTCACGAGTTCACCTCTTGAATTCTACTGAAGATATTTAAATCCACATTCATAAACCTCATCTTTTCACTCAAAAGTAGTATACTTAACTCGTCTGTCTTAGCTATCAATATACAATATACCGAACTCTGTTCCACCTCATTCTTTGGTGAAATATTTTATAATTGCTTTCAACTCTTGGGTTCTTAATTCACTTAAATATTCGCCCCCTGATTCTTATGCAACTATTATGAAACTGACTTATTACTAGAATATTTCGTCAACTCATTTATCAAATGTTATGTGGTCTGACCATGTTTTCGATTTATACAAAGAATTACTTTACTTATTACAATTGTCACATCCCTCTTCTAACAAAGTGGTTAGTCATTTAACATTACTTTCACAATTGTTTGTGAAATTACAGTACTTTTATGTAAACCACTTCTGTTATTATTGGTTAATTGTAGATTATATACATGGTGTAAAGCCATGATGAAGAATTAAGTGAAAACGATATTTCTTTGCTCTTTTTTTAACATTGAAATTAGTGAGACTCGTTAAGTGAGAGGAAACTCTCTTTTTCACTATTCTACCTCAGGTAGTTACACTCATCTTGACATATCACGTCTAAGCTTAAATACCCACCCATGTCGGTGAACAGTCATTTTTCCAAAGGCCAGTTTGAATACTTTATTGTAAATTTTTTTTTGATTTACCAATGAACAATAACACTTTACGTTTAGTCTATTTTAATGATTAGAGAAAAATATCACTTATTCTGTACCAATACACATACCTTCCTACGTATTTGTTTTAAATTAACCTCATTATCATACAAGGGACCCCAATGACATTCTCAAATTAACAATATTTTTTAATTATTAGGACAAATTCATTTGGCAGAATAAAATAATAGTACTTAAAGATACCAGTTGGTTTCGTTTGCATGTACAAGGGAGTATTCTTTAATACTTTGAATGTATATTTAGTATCATGAAGTACAGAGAAAACAAAATGTGCAGGTTCAAAGGTAAATGTACCTTGATCTAATTTAGTGTTGTAGTTCGAAATTACGCACGAAATGTTTGTATTACCTAAAACTAACGTTTTTCTCCTCCGCCTGAGGCCCCTCCAAAGGTAACTACAGGTCCCAAGCCCGGATAAAGGAGGAGGGTTGGGCATAGGGTTAGCGACCCCATCCCGTACAAAACTAACTCGATTAAAAAATGCTAACCAGGAAAAATTATCCAAACCATTTAAACTATGCCCTGGGAGTTGAAGGAAAAATTGCGACGCCTCATTATGAAAGCCGAAATTCTTCTTAAGTCACGAGGATGATGACTCTTCTAACAACCAGAGTAATAATTTTTGTAGGTACATGGAACGTCCTGACAGTGTGAGAAACCGGGAGTCTTCCAAATTGCTGCAGAAATGAGGAAATACAACCTGGAAGTGCTTCGGAACAGTAAAACACATTGGACGCAGGTTGGACTACAACGACTAGCCTCAGGGGAGCTGCTGTTATACTCCGGTCATGAAGAAAATTACCCATATACACAAGGAGTTGCATTGATACTGTCCAAACAACCACAAAATGCACTTATAGGATGGGAATCTCATGGACAAAGGATCATCAAAGCCTCCTTCAAAACAAAGAGAGAGGGCATTACAATGAACGTCATCCAATGCTGTGCGCCTACCAACGACTACGATGAAGACGTTAAAGATCAATCCTACTGCAGGCTGCAGTCGATCGTCGAGAAGTGCCCAACAAAGGACCTGACCATTCTGATGGGAGACCTAAGTACCAAGGTTGGAATGGACAACGCCGGATATAAAGACATTATGGGAGGACGTGGACAGGGAAAAAGGAACGAAAATGGTCAGAGATTTGCAAACCTATGTGCTTTCAATAAACCGGTCATAGGTGGCACTATATTCCAACACAAACGCATACATAAGACCACATAGACTTCACCAAATCACACTGCGCAGAACTAAATTGACTATATCTGCATCAACAAAAAGTTCAGTAGGACGATGTAAGAACTAGGAGAGGAGCTGATATAGCCTCAGATCATCACTTGCTGGTCGCTGAGATGAAATTAAAACTTAAAAAAGCATTGGACAATGTGGTGGATAACATCACAGCAGTTTAATACGGCTTTTCTTCGGGATACTGACAAACTCAACAAATTCAATGTAGCCCTCAACAATAGGTTCAAGGCCTTTCATGATCTACTCATTGGAGAGGGAACTGCCATGGAGAGCAACTGGAAAGGGATAAAAGAGGCAATCACTTCAACATGTCAGGAGGTTCTGGGTCACAAGAAGCCCTAGCACAAGGAATGAATCACTGTTGATACACTGGATAAGATTGAAGAAAGGAGGAACAACAAGGCAGCAATCAATATCAGTAAAAGCCAAGGCACAAGCCGAATATACAGAAGTAAACAAGCAAGTGAAGAGGAGCATCAGAACCGACAGGCGTAAATATGTGGAATATATAGCAATGACGGCGGAAAAGGCTCCAAGAGAATGAAACATGAAACAATTGTATGATACAACAAAGAAACTCGCTGGAAATAACCGTAAACCAGAACGACCAATGAAGGCAAGATAATCACCAACATTGAAGAACAACGAAACAGATGGGTAGAACACTTCAAAGAACTCTTAAATCGATCAGCTCCACTGGACCCATCCAACATCGAAGTAGCACCCACAGACCTCCCAATTAATGTTGACCCACCAACAATTGAAGAGATCAGCATGACCATCAGACAAATCAACTGCGGCAAAGCAGCAGGACCAGACAACATCCCAGTAGAAACACTGAGAGCAGATGTGGCAGTAACTGCAAAGATATTCCACATTCTCTTCAGTAAGATTTGGGATGAAGAACAAGTACCAACAGACTGGAAATAAGGACTTCTGATCAAAATATCAAAGAAAGGCGATCTCAGCAGGGTACTGTTAAACAGAATGAAGGACTCCGTAAACGCTTAACAGACTGGATTCCGTAAGGATCGATTGTGTACAGACCAAATCGCAACACTATGGATAATTGTGGAACAATCAATTGAATGGAATTCATCACTTTACATCAACTTCATTGACTAAGAGAAAGCATTTGATACCGTAGACAGGACAACACTGTGGAGGCTTCTTTGATACTATGGCGTGCCTGAGAAGATAGTCAATATCATGTGGAATTCCTATGATGGATTAAGCTGCCAAGTCGTGCATGGAGGACAACTCATTGGCTCATTTGAGGTAAAGACCGGTGTCAGGCAAGGTTGCTCACTCTCACCCTTTCTCTTTCTCCTGGTAGTCGATAGGATTGTGGAGACGTCAACATCTAGGGGGAAGCACGGGATACAGTGGACAGCTAGGATGCAGCTGGATGATTTAGACTTCGCAGATGATCTGGTTCTTCCATCACACACGCAACAACAAATACAGGAGAAGACAACCAGTGTAGCAGCAGCCTCAGTAGTAGCAGGTCTCAACACACACGAAGGGAAAAGCAAGATTCTCAGAAACAATACACAATAGACCAATCAAATCACTCTTGATGGAGGGGCTTTGGAGGATGTGAAAACCTTGACATATCTGGACAGCACCATCGATGAACACGGTGGATCTGATGCAGATGTGAAGACGCGGATCGGCAAAGCAAGAGCAGCATATTCACAACTTAAGAACATCTGCAACTCAAAACAATTGTCAACCAACACCAAGATCAGAATTTTCAATACAAATGTCAAGACAGTTCTACTGTGTGGAGCGGAAAGTCGGAGAACTACGAAAGCCATCATCCAGAAGATACAAGTGTTTATTAACAATTGTCTACGCAAAATACTTCCGATCCGTTGGTCAAATACTATCAGCAACAACCTAGTGTGGGAGAGAACAAACTAGATTTCAGTGAAGAAAGGAATCAGGAAGAAGCGCTGTAAGTGGATAAGACACACATCGAAGAAATCAGTCAACTGCGTGGCAAGACAAGCCCCCACATGGAATCCTGAAGGCCAAAGGAGAAGATGAAGACGAGAGAACACATTACGCTGAGAAATAGAGACAGACATGAAAAGAATGAACAACAACTGGATAGAACTAGAACGAAAGGCTCAGGACAGAGTGGAATGGAGAATGCTGGTCGGCTGCCTATGCTGCGTTGGGAGTAACAGGCGTAAGTAAGTAGAACTAACGATTTCACCAGATAGCTAAATTTAACAAATGAAACGCCCATTTTAAAATTTGGGTGCCATATGTGACAAACTTGGAATTGTTTTGAAAAACCTTCTGAAGGTTTGCAATTGAATCTCCTTTCTCTGGACAAAACTACCGCTGAGGAGTCCTGTGATAGGAAGAAACGGTCACCCAGTGCTTCAAAGTTTCCAGTTGTGGTCTACCTAAGACCAGTTTGTGGGATAAACTATGAAAATTCTACTTAAGTTGCGTCACATTATCTTTCAAAATTATTACTCTCCTATTTTTTGTTTCCAAATAACGGGTATTTAAATATACCGTGAAGTAATAGAAATGTTGCATCAGCAGAATCACATTTTTCATCTAGCCGGGTGTTTAAAAATATACAACCATAAAAGTAGGGGAAAAACAGTGACCGTATTATGGTCCATTACTTCATACACGGGTTCGAGGAATGGTGATTCAAGTCGTAGAACGAATTGTATTTCTAAGTTAAGATTTATGAAAATATATGCCAAGGTTGGTGTTATTATAAATCAATTTCTGTAATATTAGTGTAATCAGTTCTTATTTGGTTTTGAAGCACTTATTCGTCTGAACATACATCACTGTCATCTTCTGTAATTCTCTTTTTAGTTTGCTGTGACAATTTATTCTTTTAATAAATTAAACCAGTACGTAATTGGGATATATTTTAGGTTGATTTGGTTGTTTCTAGCTGATAAAACAAAATGTTTGAAATACGTTATGTAATTTTTAAACATTTTTAAGAAATAATTCAAACTAATAACGTCATAAACTATGTCTAACGATTCTTAAATTCATCTAAAACATACGAGAATTCAAATATATCTTCATAAACAAATAAAGAAACAATAGTTAAATAGTAAAATAAAATAATGCATATTAGTTCAAAGAGGTAAGTAAATTAAATCGTCTCGAGGAAATGAAAATTTAGTTAAAATTCAAATTAACCGGGACCGTGAAGCATTTCATAAATAGGTAAATCAGTAAATTTCATTCAGGGAAATTCAAACTAAGAAATATAACTTATAAATTATAAACGTCAAACTTCGGACTAAAGTTTAAGCCGTATGTAGCTTCTTGAAATTCACCCGAATCAACACTTGACGGTGAATGCCAGTTTTCCAAGGCAGTTCTTTTGATAGAGTTGTCATTCTTAACAGTATCTGAAGGTACATTAACTGAATGTAAAAAAGTATTTTCTTTTGTTTCAGCTGCCTCACTGAAGTTAAATTCAGATGACAAAATGGATGGATTTTGAGGACAATGTACAGATGAGTTGAGTAAAGCAGTTGTAGCTGCAAAAGTTTCATCCTCCTCCTCCTCATACGTTGTTGTCAAGTGCTCACGTCTACTAGGACAATTCGACGAAACTGTTCCCGATGGACTTATTAACTCAAATTCTTCAATGGTGTCACTATATTGAATGCTTGGGTGTATTATAGGTTCCATCGTAAACGACTGAATGTGAGGTTTGTCATTAATCACTAAACGATAATCTATATCTCTAGGAAAATAAGGGTTTGTTGAAAAAGCACAAGATTCTGACAGAAAGACAGTCGAATTTCCATCTTTACTGCAGCCTTGATGAATCTATAAAACAATGAGAGATGCCTCTTCAGTAGTATAAAAGACTAAGAACTGTAAAGATTTGCCGGTATAGAACTAAAACATCTATATGACTTGTGTGGCTACGGAATTGTATTATATGCAATTTTATGATCTGAAAGAACTGTTATATCACAAACACGTTAGAAAAAATATAGATTCATTCTCGCTAATAATAAATTCTAATAGTATAACAATTCTTTAGAGCAGGTTGTAATTAAGGTTTCTAAAAGTTGTCAATGAAAAACAAAAGGTCATTAAGATAAGTCGTGAATTATATTTTTTAAAAACGACGAAAGTTTGTAATGTAACATTGTGTTTATAAATACTACATTGTTTGCTTGATATTTGTAAGCCTCTTAATATCCGCATGAATTTTTAGGTTCCTGATACACTTTCTTTTGATTCAAACAATACTATTTCACCTGCTGGTGACCAATTATCTTCTTAACATTTTACAATAAAAATCTTCAAAAATATAAAGAAACATGAGACAGAAGTGCTCTGAATAACACTTGCCAAACATTTTAAACAGAGTTCACTGGTGGCTAACATTGGAATCCAGGATGCACATTTTGCCCTATTGGGTACTCATAAGCTACCGACCACCAGTAAAGTCTGCTTATAATGTTTTTGTCTTAACGGCAATGTTGAAACAATCCGTATGGGATTCATATACTCCAAAAAGGCTGACCGACCGCAGTCCTAAATATCAATTGGAAGATTCAAACGACCAATACAATTGTCTTAAAACTGATTCTTATGTAAACCGAATAATAACAATGAGTGCTTAAGACGATTGAAGTAATGTTAAAATTGAAAAACATTAGTATTTCGTTTATAAAAACTATTCCTTGGGCCATAAAACAAATGCAATTAGCGAGATTAATGATAATGGATACTTCGTCGAGCCTTTTAGAAGTATAACTGTACTAAATGAGAGGATTTTAACCCTCTACAAACATTAATAACTTTAAACATATGGGAACTAAAACTAGCCTATAAATACAAATCGAATTCGGCCTGTAGTGTGAACTGAATAATTGCCTGCAAAAACCTCCAAGTCGGCCTCACGATAAAATCAAATGTGTTCGCTAAAGTTGTTAATTACTTCTAAATAACTTACATCTTGTATATTGAGCTGAAATGATTCTGACTGATTTTTTGAAGTGTCCGTCAAATCATAGTCCTTTGAAAAACTCAGCGGACAGTTTTCAGACCTATAGTTAGGTTGGCTGTAAGAAAACCGCAAATCTGTAGCACTTTCAAAATGAAGTCCCTTAGTTATTGTGGGAAAGAATTTTCTGTGTTTTACGTTACCGCATCCATGGTCTTCATCGCACAGAGAATATTTCTGATCACATTCAACAGCTTCAGATCCGTATTCATTGTAAAAATAATGAGTCGATTGGTGCAAATGAGAATCGCAATTTAAACTTAGATGAAATTCAGAATGATTTGTATCCACCGTTTGAAAACCCTCGGATTGTGTACAAGACAATAAAGTGATTAAATCTGGATTGTACTCATGTTTATAGATTTCCGAAAGTGGATTATTGGATAAATTGTTTGCAATTTGTAGCTAAAATGGTGAACGTGAACAACCTTATTAGTATAAAGATATTTGGAGTGTTTGAAAACATCAAATTAATTCTATCGAAATTATAGACGAGAAACATAATCTATAAATTGGACGAATCTGTTTTAACTTTTCGCCGATAGGTTTGGCCGCATTATCTCATGAAAAAAGATAGACATAACCACTGAGAAAAATTGTAAAAAAGTTGAGAAAACTCACATTATTTTCGAAAACTATCTCAGGTTGTGACTATTTTTCTTATAAACAACGCAAACAGTTTCTGCCTACCGATCAATATCAGTATTTTCTGCTGTTATTAGTTTGCAATCGCTATACAGCAAGTCCCTGACTTTAGGCACAATTTTTGGCCTCACTTGTAGTATATTGGTCAGATCGCACCTTTTTGAAACCCCGAAAATATAGGACTCTTACTATAACCTATGCCCATTACAATAGCAATGTAAAAACATTAGTTGTTTAAAGTTTGTTTCTACTCGAAATTAGACAAGCTTTTAGTATCTTCAGATATTTTTAGTCACCTAAAAATCTTATTTTGTAGGTGTCTGAAAAACGTTATGATGGCCTCATTTAAAAGAGATTAGTGTGTTGAGAAGTATGGTTACATTTAGAAGAAAATCAATCTAAACTTTACTGTCCCTGACTTTCTTAGTTGTCTTAAAATATGTGTTATTTAGGTTTATCAACATTACTCTAGATCTCTGGAGTGAAGAAATGCTGACAATTATAACCGAACTGTCAGCTTTATTATCTGTGTTTAATTTGACATTAACTTCTTACAAAATTCTTCTTCCAATGAGGATTAGGCAAAACGACCCTTAAAAACATTGAGATTTAGATCAAAATGGTGGTGCAAAATCACTTACGTTTTTATTTATTTTGTGACAATGACTATCAACACATACAAAATCCAGTCTACTAGGCAAGCCTACATAGAAAAATACTGAGGCGTGCCTTGGAAGAAATATGCTGTCAATATGAACTAGCCTCTAGTATCACATAACAATTCACCAATACAAATGAAACTCGATGTTTTTACCTAAATTTTTAACGAACTCTTCCATCATTTATGGTTACAAGGAAGTATTTATTCGCCTCATTATGCGTCAAACAATTTGAAGATAACACGGATCCCATCCTCAATACGTAAATTATTATTTTCTGTATATATTGCGTGATGGCAGTTAGGCTACAAAACATTAATTCGTACTTTCCTTATCCCCGTTGATTTCCTTATTATTTTGAACGTCAAACACTATTTCTAAATCTAAATTTTATGTGACCACTAAATATAATGTATTAAGTCAAATCCAATTTCCGTATCAATGACACTAAATGAAAGATAAAAAATCAAAAAGCAGAGAAAAGTGTCAATTTGTGTGCGAAACTCAGTGTTGATTTTAAATGCTTATCAATAAATAAAACAAACCCCCGTAAGCGATTCAAGTATTTGTATCAAGCATCTTCCAAACTCTTCAATGACGATCTTCTCCTGAACAAACAGAGGGAAATTTTTATATTTGGCTTCTTTGAGTTGAACTAAGATGCAGCTACATGCAGCTTCAACAACTTCAAGTGTAAAAAACTTTGAAGATAAGCTTCAAAGCATAAGTCATTCAACTGATATGACTTACATTGAATTTTTGTAGAAATGAACATATGGCAGGTTCAACACAGATGGATGCGATGCCCGGTCCGAAACATGGTTAATCTGTGGTAGCTCCATCTGATTATTTTTGTGGTACACCGAATCTTGAATGCCAGTGTAAGTTGGTCTAGAGGAAGTGCTAAAAGGATAAGAAAATCCTACCTGCTGCTCAAATGAGGCTTTTCTTTGATGGAATGAACAGGCTCTAATTGTGAGTGTCGTTGAATTAGATCTTCAACGTTTCGACAACCTTGACATCGACACATATTCGAGCATCTGACTTTCGCCTGTTATTATAAACGAATAAACAGAAACAGAAAAACCTCATAACACTCGCAATAATTTTTCAAACATCGAGACTTCTTGCACGTACATCCTTTAGAATGGCTACGTTCTTCATCAGCTAATGTAAGTCATCTAATGAAGCAATCGTACCGGTCTTTGGGTGAAATGCCGATGGATTTCTCTCTAAAGTACGTTTGATGGATTTTTTACGGTCTTCTTCGTGTGAGTGGTTGTTCATACAGTTTGTACAGTTACAGTTATCACAGTAGCTTCCTCGAGCAAAGCATTCACAGTATAGTTTAAGACAGTGAGACTTAACACAATTACACGGCTTGATATTAGATAGAGAAAATATAGGAAACGAAAATATTTTGTTCTTTGTGTTTAGTTCAGTAACACATGTTTCAGTAGAACAATAAAAACCATCTAACTTATTTTTATATAAGTCCTACGTAAGAAAGGGTCATATATGTGATATTATATTACTTTTTTGGACTGCATGTCACCAAATGTTTCACAAAAAATAAACTTGTCAACTAGAGGCGTTTCCTGTCCTATGAACATTGGACTGTTCTTGATGTGCGAAATCAAAGAAAGACAAGGAAATGAGCGCGTTGAGCAACCGATAAAACAAAATAGGAAAAGGACAGTCTCTATAACCGATGTCTCTGTAACAAGCTCATGTGAGCTCATGCATGGTGAGTGCAATATTCATACAATACAATGTTGTGAGAGGTCATGGGCATCTCCTTTGCACATGGTCCTTATAAAAGACAATAACTATTGGCGTCCAACTGGTGTCTATCGGCGTTTGAATGCAAAAACCATTCCTGATCGTTACCCGTTGCCTCACATTCGCGATTTTACAGCTACCTTAAAAGGCGAAACTGTCTTCTCGAAAATCGACTTGGTTAAAGCCTATAACTAGATCCCTATGGCTACTGACGATACTCCAAAAACCTCCGTCATCACTCCCTTCGGACTACGAATTTTAGCAAATATATTTCGGTCTAAGAAATGCTGCCAAGACTTTTCAAAGGTTCATCGATAACGTTTTTCGAGATATCAACTTCGTACATGCGAATGTTGATGACTGTCCAATAGCACGTCCGGACAGATAATCCCATCTCCAGCATCTGGGCAGTGTGTTCGAACGATTGCAAAAGCATGGTATTACTGTAGACAATCAGAAATGACAGATAGGAACCAAATCCCTAGATTTCCGAGGACACACTATTAATGCTCAATGCATCCTACCTCTTAAAAGCAATGTGGCGGCCATTCTGGAATACTCAGAACCGTCCACCATCAAGCAATTGCACTCATTTAACGCTTTGCTCGAAAAGCATTCTCCATAGTTAAGGAACTTATCTCAAAGGCAACTGTACTGGCACATCAGGACACTCAAGCGCCTATTAGTATTGCAGTAGACACATTCGACTCAGCAATCAAAGGAGTTTTACAACAATGGGTTAACCACTCCTCACAACCTTCAGCGTTCTTCTCAAGACGGGTGCTGGACACTGAATCGAGGTAAAGCACTTTCGGTAGGGCACTCCTAGCTATGTATTGTGCTGTACGGCATTTTCAACACTGTCGAAGACCGAGGATTCACCCTTTTTACTGATCATAAACCTTTTACTCTCTCTTCAAGCTCATCTTCTGAGAAGTACTCGCTTCGTGAGTCTCAACAACTTGACTACATTTCGCAGTTTACTTCAGATATACCACGTATTTCTGCAGCAGACAATGTAGTTGCAGACGCCTTGTCACGTACAACTTCCTTTTACAGTTTCCAAAGAATCGACCTTCTTAAACTCGCTCGGCTTCAAAAAGAAGACACTGATCTTCAGCACGAGTTATCATCAACAACGCTTAAACTGTGCCTCAAACAGGTGGGAACAGGTAAGGAAACCTTACTATGTGACACATCTACAGGTAGGGATCGTCCAATAACGCTGAATCATTATCGATGCAACGTCTTTAATACGTTTCTCATCCAGGTGTTCGTGCAACCATCAAACACATAGAAGAACAGCGTTGCTGGCCTGGTATGAATAAAGACGTGAGGGAGTTAGCACACTCCTGTGTAAGCTGCCAGAAATCTAGGATGACTGGACACAACGAATATCTATTAGTCTCTTTCACAACTCCCGATGCTCGTTTCTACTATGTTCATCTGGATTTGGTAGGACCCTTACCCGATTCAAATGGATACTCATATCTCTTAACCTTAGTAGACCGATGGTCAGAAGCAGTATCTATTAAGGACATTACTGCTGAAACAGTGGCTCTCGCCTTCGTCGAACGATGGGTAGCAATTTTCGACTACCCTTCAACCATCACTACAGACCGCAGACGCCAGTTCGAATCTGGACTTTTCAGTTGTCTGACCACACTACTATGAATCACTCACTTCCGAAAGACCGGCTACCACCCACAAGCAAGCAGGTTGTTAGAACGCTTTCACCGACAACTAAAGGTTTCGCTATCAGCTACAAACGTTTCACAGTGGACCGACACTCTCCCATTTGTTTTACTAAGTATTCGTGATGCAGTGAAGGCTGACATTGGATACGCTGCAGCTCAACTCGTTTATGGGACGACACTTCGACTTCCAGGAGAATTCGTGGATCCTTCATCTTCTTCCATGAACATGGATCTAAAATCCTGCACAGGCAGGCTTACAAACGCAATGCGTTCAGTTAAACCTGTTTCCACTCGACCGCAATCAACTGATGTTTTGCTTGACATCTTGAAAGTCACCTCTAGGTATTTCCGTGTATTTCATGCACTGTCTTGATATTCGTCAAAACTGTTAACAACAAACACTGAGGTTGATGTGAACATACCAGCTTTAGTTTTATGGCGGAAAGTTTCGTTAAAACGTTTTCCATAATAAATTACCACACTAAATGTAGAACTGATATGGCTTGCAGAGAGACGGCTTATTCAATAGTATCAACTGTAATCTAGTTTTCGTCCATACGTCTGTTGTTTTTAGGGTCTCAAGTTAGATTTTGTGATAGTTATACGATATTGAAATCAGTATTCGAATTAGCAACTTCAAGAAACGTCAAAATCACATTTTAATAGTCAAGTGTGAGACGGTATGAGGGCCAAACAGAAAACTGTGAGCGTAAACTAAAGTATTACATTTGAAAATGGAATAAGAAGCGGAATCGTTTACCCAGGAATCATGAGTTCGTTTAAACGTTACAACTCAGACAGCCCGAAAGAAAATCTGGATTTTCTTAATTCATTAAACTCATAAATACTACTGTTGAAAGAACAGTATCACCTTCAATAACAACATTTCTGATGAATGAGGTATTAGAATAAGAGTAACACTGATCTAATCCAAAAAGTGATGGTGAAAACGACTGGCTGCACGGGGTCTTAGATGAGGACAACCTCATTTTTATTGTCTATGACATTACTTACTATGCTAGGAACTGGTGCAAATCCCATAGTTTTCTGCCTCAACATACAGCTTTAAAGAATAGCATATTAGTTCCGTTGAACTGCGAAATTATTCGTAGTTATTGTTTTGTAAAGGTTCAGTGTAACATTCCTCCAGAATCACTAATAAATATCATTTTCATGCTCTTGAACAGCACCTGTTTGAAAACATTGTTTGGTTACAAATAGGATATATGATGAAGCTTGACATTTATCTTTGCTACTATAATAACAGAATCCCAAAGTTGTCCTGATGTGACTATCTGACTTAAAAGAGATTACGTGGAAATCGCGTCATAGCCTACATTAACTCGTTCTTCCGTGACAATCAGCAATCAACAATCCAGCTTTTCTAAAGAACATATTTGAGACTACACTATAGTTAACTAATACCATCCGCGCATGCCTTCTGTAGACAGACCTATGTACCATATATAAACTTGCCAGATAGCTAGGGATTAAATTAAATTTCTTTCTAATATGATACATCTAGATACAGTATTTACTCGCTAAATCGGCAGATATTGCACCCATATTGAATATCAAGAAACAGATGAGCTAGAAATTTACAATTACTATTTCCATCCCAAGTAATTGGATTGATTTCTTCAAGCTTACCATTTCATTCTTTTCATTGTTTCCTAATGTAGTTGTTTAGCTTCTACGTATTTCTAAAATGAGGGGAAAAAGTAGAGGCTATAGCAAACTATTTCGGGGTAGTTTTCACTCAGAAACCTCATCTAGACGAAGAACTAAACCCAAATACAAAGTCAACAAACCGTCTGCTAACCATGGACTCGGATCGAGATGATGTACTTGAGGCTCTTAGCACCTTAGACATGGAAACGTCAACAGGACCGAATGGACTACACCCCAAAATCCTGAGGCATGTTGCACAATATATTGCAGCCCCATCGACTGTGATATGCTATATGACACTTGACCAGGGTGTTTTACCTACGGACTGGAATGATGCAATCGTCACTCCCGTGCATAAAACAGGACCAAGACAACTTCCATCGAACTACAGACTTGTCAGCTTCACCAGTGTCGTGCTCAAAATACTGGAAAGAATAGCCGACCATAATGACATTCATGGAAACCAACAAATCGTCAAACAGAGAACAACGTGGTTTCAGAAAAGGTTTATCTTGCACAAAAACCTCCTTATAGCAAGGGATCAGTGGATAGAGGCTCTAGGCAATAGAAAACCAGTGGATGTGGTCTATACAGACTTCAGCAAAGCATTTGACAAGGTGCCAACAAATAAACTACTATTGAAGTTGGAGAGTCTTGGCATTGCCGGATCTCTCTTAAAAATGGATTAAGGATTTCTAGTAGGTCGTAGAGAGAAAGTAAGAAAAAACTCGAACTCCACCTGGAGACCAGTACTTAGTTGAGTACTGCAAAGTCCTGTCCTAGGTCCTTTACTTTTTTTTACTGTATGTAAAGATCTCCCAATTATAGTTGTGTTTTCAATGTTGTTATTCACTGATGTAAAAATCTGGCGAGAAATAACGGGAGACGCAGATGCATGCGCACTTCAAGCAGTTTTAAATGCTGTGATTAGCTCGTCTAAAGAGTGGCTGACGCCTATCAACGTGGTGAATTGTGTCCACATTTACAATGGGGATACAAATGTAAATAGGTACAGTATTGGGGAAGTGCCATTACCCGCAGTGCGGTCTCATAAGGATCTTGGGGTGACGGTGAGTCATGATCTTAAGAACACAGCCCATTGCTGGGAGACTGTAGCTAAGAAATTTATAACCCTCTAGGCTTTAAGAAGGATATTCATCAAATTAGATACTAACATGTCCACTACTGTATATACAACCTTAGAGAAAACTATGTTCGAGAACTGCTTTCAGGTCTCAAGCTCCTGTCAAAGAGGTAACTCGGATATCCTCGAAAAAGCATAGAGGGTAGCTATTTGTGCAATTCCAGAACACCGTGGTTGACCATACAAAGAGCGGCTTGTGAAGTTAGACCTCTTTACTCTGTCCTATCGCAGATTCAGAGGTGATCTGATTTTTATATAAGAACTCTCGTCTAAATTAGAGCGAATGGTTTCACAGTATTTGAGCGCCGAGTTGATGTAAGACATTAAATAGGAATAATATATTTGTAAAACTTCAGCGATCTGATTTTGATGTGTGAAATACTAAGAAATGATTTCGGACCTAATATATTTTCTTTCCTTGTTCCCATTACACTGGAACATCTCAGAGGACATAGAAGACGAGTAGAACAGCCGAGAACGGATAAAGTACCCGTGGCACGCAGTCATCAATTCTTGGAACCTGTTACCTGAAGCAGTGGTGTCTACACCCTCACTTGACTCATTCAAGAGAAGACTAGAAACTCAAAGAAGAAAAGCGGAAAAATAATATTAAAGACCGGGAGGCCTTCTGTCCTTATTACACAAACCTAAAATCTGAATCTGACATTCAAGAATAAAACTGACGATTGACAGAAGCGGGTCGATCAAAATGCCGATTTCCAGGCGTGACAAGAAAGGTAAGTTCAGGATGTCCTTTGTATCCAGTTCTTTTCAGTCGACCTTACTCAGGTTCTAAAACATGCTCCTAAGAAAAAAGAACACATTGCAAAGGTATTAAATTGCTTGTAGTCTTACGTAGCTTTAAGGTTCGTCAATATGTGGACGAATATAGAAGAGTATATTTAGTGACCCTGCAAAATCCTCGCACCCAAAAAGTTTCCGAAATACGAAAAAGCATGGCGAAAAACAAGTTATTCCTGATTTGTGTGATATACGGTTTAGGCTTTTATTTGGTGTCAACAAGGTGACAACTTTAGCGTTGGGTAAAACTCATGAAGACAGTTATCGACCAAAATTGCACCTTTTATCCAAATATCTAAAAGGACAGTGTGCCCTTCTATTTTCACGATCATCGCCTGCAGAATTACGCGAACAGCTTGATGCGTTCCGGTCGTCAGAATACAGTAGACCAGGTGTAATCGCTGAGCAGACTGTGAGTCTTAAAATTTCTTCATTGACCTAGTACGTAATGCCAGATATCATGTGGCTCTACAATTAAAAAACCTTTTAATTAATTATAGCTCATGGTTGCAGTTTAATACTTAATTGGTAATGGTAGTCCCCATGTCTTCGCTGAAATATTCGTCCTTAAAAATGTACTCTGTTGTTCTAAGAAGTATTGTCTTACAAAGGTTTCCATAGTGAAATTTGGGTGTTCATTTCCATGGTTCCTCCGTTATGTTTTGTGTTCTCTAAAGCTATTTCATCCAGAATCTCACTTTGAAAGGGTGTGCTATCTAAGATCTCTACAGAAAGCGCCGCAATTTCGAGTAGATTATCCCACTATTTAAATCGTCAGTGGTATTCACTTGACTGACAGACCCGTTGTCGTTATCTACATTTTCTAAGCTTTCGAATTGTAACGTACTTCGTAACTTGGTTGAGAAAATCATAGTATTTCTGGGATGAAATAATTTCATTTAAGCGATAGAGTGCCGCCATAACTGTGATCTTACTTGTTACTAGAGTGACAATTCAAATCGCTCACTGTTATGTTTTAATAGATGTTCCAGTCTTTTAAAAGTTCCAGGATCGTACATGAAACCGCACATTCACCTGTCTTTTGGATCTTCAGTTCTATAAGACGATAGATGTCGAAGATGGCAATTATGTGCAAACACGTGACGAAAAAACTGTTCCGTCAGCTCCTTCGGGCTCCATGCCTATCCAGACGCTACCTTATCTTATTCAAAAGTAACAAAGTAACGGTAGTCAGATGTTAAAAGAGGTAATTAGTCAACTTGCATAATCTAAAGAAGTTGGTGTTCGGTTCGAAATACTATTCTCTTGGGTTAAGATGACAAGAAATTTATTTTATAACTTTTGTATAGGCCGGTTGCACTCATCTTCTTCGTAGTTATTTAATCGTTGATCACATATAAGTGAAATATCTCGCACAAGAAGGGGTGGTGTTAGAAAAGGTCGACCCTAAAAATGCACACCTCGCCTTATCCCACAGATATCCGTCTCCGGCGGTAAGGTTTTTTTTGAAGAACGGAGCTGACACAAAAACTACCCACAAAAAGGTCGTGTGTGACCGACCTCAAGCAGTTGTCCCTTGGGCACTGCGGTCACGCTCTCAGGTCATTAAGACCACTTCTAACCCAATTTCCTTTTCAGGTACCCCTAGAAGAACCCTTCCACGGTGTGGGCAACCGGGAAGTGATAACTGCCCTCATACCTCTAACAGCACTCAAGACCACTGTATTCATAATCAATCTCCTTCTTCAATTCCTACTATTCCTTCTACCTTGACTTTCAACACTAAACTTCCTCTCTCTCGGTTTCCTCCTCAAGTGTCACCATGGCCAACGATTCTAGTGCGCGAAACGCTGTCCCAGGTCTACTTAAACCTCGCTCCAAACTACACATTGGAGCCTTCAACGTACGTACCCTATGCCAAATCGGTCAACAGGCCTCCTTAGCTAAAACCCTAGAATCCCGTACCATTGATGTATGCTGTGTCTCCGAAACACATACAGGATCCCAGTGTGGTCATTCACTTGACCTCACCTCGCCAAAATGGACAGCCAACGAAATACACCCTCCGTGTATCTGGCGACCCGTTGGCTAGTTCTCGCGGACTTGCAGGTGTAGGCATAGCACTAAGTACAAGGGCAGAACAAGCACTACTAGAATGGATCCCCGTTAACAGTCGCTTGTGTGCTGTCCGGCTGAATGGCTCCGTAAGAACTCGGAAGGATAGGGACACATGTCGTTGCCTTTTCGTCGTTTCTGCCTACGCTCCCACCGACTACAGCCATGATGAAGTGAAAGATGACTTTTACAGAAAGCTAAGCGCTCAGACATAGTAGTCGTAGCGGGTGACTTTAATGCCCAGGTAGGCAGCTTGAATCAAACAGAAAGACATTTAGGTGGGTGTTTTAGTATTCCGGCCCAACAAACCGATAATGGTGATCGTCTGTTGCAACTATGCTCAGACAATCGTTTATTTTTAGCAAGCACTAATTTTAAACATAAGGAGAGACATCGTCTAACATGGCGACCACCTGCACCAAACCAACGATGGACTCAAATAGACCATATTGTCATCAGTCATCGTTGGAGAGGCTCAATAGAAGATTGTCGCTCGTATTGGAATACTTGTTTAGACTCTGATCACGCTTTGCTACGAGCGCGCATTTGTCTGCGCCTCAATGGACGCAGGAAAAGTACACTAAGAAGACCCATTAGGATTGAACTGGAGGACGAGAAAGCCAATTGCGAATTCCAGAAACAACTGAGTTCACATCTAGGCAGTTCTGTAAACAAGACTGACACAGATGCTGCTTGGAAAGACATACGAACAGCTGTGGAAACAGCAGTTACATCTATTAGTCATTTAAACCATAGGGCTCCAAAAAACCAATGGATTTCTTCTAAGTCTATTTCACTGATGCATTCGCGTAAACTCATCCCATCAGGCTCTGAACATGACGAAGAGCGTAAAGAAATTAGATCTAGGTTAACTAAAAGTCTAAGGAACGATCGTGAGCAGTGGTGGGCAACGAAAGCAAAAGAGATGGAAAAGGCAGCGGCTGTAGGGAACACCAGGCAACTATTCAGACTAATAAAAGAAACCGGAATTAAGAAGTCAAGTGTAAGTGAGACCATCTCCGAAAAAGACGGAACCCTTATCTGCTCTCAACCCAAACGTTTAGAACGATGGGCGGAACACTTTAAGGAGCAGTTTAGCTGGCCTTCAGCTACTGCACAACTACCCACTATCCCTAGAAAACCTGAATGGAACATTGAAGTAGGCCCCCCGACCCTACTTAAAGTTCAAAAGGCTATAAGTAATCTGAAACGAGGAAGAGCAGCTGGTCCAGATGGATTGGCTCCAGAGGTTTTTAAATATGGTGGTCCGATTTTAGCGATTAGGTTGACTAATATTCTGGCTAAAATCTGGGAGACGGATGTAATCCCATCCGACTGGTCACAATCACTTATTGTCCCAATATATAAAAAGGGGTCAAAATCATCCTGCGATAACCATAGAGGGATTAGTCTGACTAACATAGCATCTAAAATACTAGCCTCAATAATTATCGGGCGCCTAACTAAGACTCGTGAACTGCAAACACAAGAAAATCAGGCTATCTTCAGACCTGGTCGTGGCTGTATCGACCACATATTCACTAATTGTCAAGTTTTAGAGCACAGACACGCTTATCGGCGTCCGACAATGATAGTTTTTCTTGACTTGAAAGCAGCATTTGACTCTGTAGACCGAGAGGTTCTGTGGCAGTGTCTGTCATTGAAAGGTGTACCTGAGAAGTACATAAACCTTGTGAAGGCTCTTTACTCGAACACTACCAGTCGAGTGAGAGCTTATGGCGAACTGTCATATGATTCTACAACCTCAAGTGATGTCCGTCAAGGCTGTCCACTATCCCCATTTTTGTTTAACTTCATTATAGACCTGTTGCTGGAAATAACACTCTCTTCGACTGAATTTACAGGAATTGATCTCCTACCAGGGGGACCACTAAGCGACTTAGAATACGCAGATGACATAGTCCTGTTTGGTGAAGACGCTGACAAAATGCAGAGTCTTCTGTTGGAACTCAGTAATAATGCCAGGATGTTTGGGATGCGATTCTCCCCATCCAAATGTAAATTGTTACTCTAGGACTGGCCTGCGTCAACGCCTGAACTAAAGATAGATAATGAGGTAGTCGAACGCGTCGACAACTTCACTTATCTTGGAAGTCTGATCAGCAATAATGGGTTGGTTCCTGACGAAATCTCAGCACGGATTCGAAAAGCTCGTTTGGCTTTTGCCACCCTACGTCACCTATGGCGAAGACGAGATGTCCGTCTATCAATTAAAGGACGAGTATACTGCGCATCAGTTCGCTCTGTTCTACTTTACGGTTGTGAAACATGGCCATTAAGAGTAGAAGATACTCGTAGGTTACTAGTATTTGACCACAGATGCCTCAGAAATATTGCTCGCATCTGCTGGGATCACCGGGTAAGTAATAGTGAGGTTAGACGCAGGGTATTAGGGAACGATGGTAAATCAATTGATGAGGTGATGAATCTTCATCGACTGAGATGGTTGGGCCATGTGTTACGTATGCCTGAACACCGATTACCACGACGCGCTATGATGACTAGTGTAGGGGATTGTTGGAAGAGAGTTAGAGGCGGCCAAACCAAAACATGGCATCAGTGTTTGAAGTCACTAACTTCTAGTCTGAGCCATGTTGGTAGATGCAGACTACCTGGTTGGGGTCCGCGTGACTATCGTAACCAGTGGTTGGAGACTCTAGGTGACATGGCTCAGAATCGATCACAATGGCGTAGGTGTATACACTCTTTATCTTCCTTTAAACCTTGAGACTAAAATTGCTTCATATCTCCCTTCCTGTACTATATCCTTATATACAACCTATAATTTATATACTACTACCACCACTAAATTAATTACTCCTATGAATCCGGTGTTCATCTTGTTGTGCTAACGAGGTATGGCAACTTGGACCGATGTATTAATGTGCCTGGTCCTACGTTGTAGCTGACTGACTGACTGACTCACAAAGCTGAACTTCTAATATTATTGTAAAAGTATCTTTATTCACCTAGTCCTCTATTCTAGATGTGTATGCTTTTGCAATTCTGCAGTCCTTACTCAGGCTCTTGAACGCTTGTCGTGTGACATCATATATTACAAACTGTTTTATCCATGCTGTAAACCAATCATTCCAGGGTCTAATGCCAAACCGGCCAACTCCAGTTTTTCCACCCAGCGTCTACAAGTAGTGCACGAGGTGTAATCCGCTGAGATGACATTTGTAACACGTACGAGTCACTAAAGCCGCTGTTTCAAGATGATATTAACTGGGTTATCTTCACCATACCTAAGCACTCATTGCCAAACCTCAGGATTACCTTTATTTTGTTGCCGACGTGTAGCGACAATTCCTCCGTGACGATGGTCAAACAAAGAAAGTCATCGATCATCTTGAACTCGGATTCCAGGTTTCATAACTATAGGGCAATGTTCCTCATACCGACGTGTTCCCAACCGAAATTCTCACTGCAAGGCCAGCACCAAAACAACGCCATAGATGACCCAGATTCCCATATCCTATTTTGGTTTTCTCTATACATGGGTTGGTTTTATGTCACGCCACCGCTAGCACTAAAAACACGACATACATAAACTTTCCCACTACTTAAAAAAAAATTAACCACAGAGTGTAGACAGGTTCCTACCAGTCTTGTAAGAGTACTTTGTATTGGGAAGTAATAGCAATATAATTAGTAGTAGAAAACAGTAAGTATGAATAATATGATTAGAAAAGAAAAATGATTCGAAGAATAAAATGTATAAGCTCTAAATCTAATACAAATCAAAGAGTAAATGCATTTGCACGAATGAGCCATGTTACCTGTTTATAATAGATATTCGTGTGGACCCCAGATAAGTGATCTCTGCTTATTAATATGGTTCAGTCCACTTGTCAATGACTACGTAGACTGGTGTCTCGTTTTGGTTTGTATGACCTTAGCTTCCTTCCAACCGGCTTCTACACCAGCAAATATAAGGTGTCAGGTGGCAATTAAACGTGCGTAAAACATGTTCCAAGCACTTCAATCGATGAAGATTCAATGTCTTATCAACAAATCTACCTTCTTTACCCCATACTGCGCGTGTAATCTCATTTCTCGCTCGGTGCTAACAATGTTTATAATTCTTTGGAAAGAGTTATGATCAAAAACTAGTGATTCACAAACACCCTTTATTACCAATGGCCTTGCCACAGTCATAAAGTGAAATAGAAGATAACTGGTGCATAGTATACTCATCCTTTTGTTGGAAGATAGAAATCTTTTCTACTATACATGCGGAACAATGCAAACGCCAGCCGTACTTACTGAACCCGTGTTGAAATTACGTCACCAGCGCATCAGGGCTAATGAAAACTCCCAAGATGTGTGAAGCGGTCAGCAAACTCAACTGCTACGTTCCCTATCATCAAAATCTGAACAATATTTCAAACAAATATAATTAAGGACCTTCAGCCTTCACATGTCTTCTATTCTCATATACCACGTGTTATATCAGTTCAGCTTTATTTGTGAATAGTTTTCGTAGGTTTTAATGCCTCCTTTTACTATTGCGCGCATGTTGACTGTCTTTTTGTTCGAATTCTGACCTCATTATTGACTGATCACATCCATATTGGTTGATTTGTTGTACGTTAGTATTTCTTTTGATCACCAATTTGCTTCAACTCCATGTTACTAAAAATTTTCTGGGATTCTTGAAGTTTCCCGAATTTCACCCCCTTTCCAAATGGATATACGTCCATTGTTACTCATATGTATTGTTATAAGTGATCATATAACATTTTGCCCGACTATTAATCTGTGCTTATATATGGGTAGGCAAAGGAGATGCCCACTTTGTCCAATGTAATCTTTATCCTAGTTGATGCGATTTATTTTGCAAATCATGTTGCATGTCTTCTTTCAATGTTGTCCTTCTGCCTGCGTTAACTGAAATAAAGTGACTGCATTGATTCGTTTATTTTTTGGAAGTAAAACGCATGAACGTGTTTGTACCAGATTACTTTGATGGACGATTGTTGAGATCAAAGAAACCGTGAGAATATTTTATAATGACCGCTTGTTTGAAAGCTAACTTACTATGTGCTCTAGTTCATACTGCTGTAAATTTCGAAGGCTTGGGTATTTCGAAGACTACTAAAACTGTTTATAATGGTAGATAAATTTGTTAATGACTTCCAAGAATTAGATAAAAATAGTTGTTTTTTGAAAATCAATAGTTTAGATTATGATCTCATGTTGTTTCTGTCATATTTTGCCTACGTAAATCTCAGCTCAATGGAGAAAAACTTGAATGACTTCTCTGAAATCACCTCCAAAACAGTAGATCTAAGCGTATACAGAATAAAATATTGTTTGTTGTGATTCAGATAGTTTTGCTGTATTTTTGTTCTTTTCGGTTGCCGATTTATTTTCTGTCGAAAATACCAGAGATTACCTTCTATTATTTAAGGATCAATGTTCATTCCTAGCTAAAATAAGCTTACGTGGTAGTATTGATGGGTTCTTGACCGTTATGAAATAATCACAGGCAACTTATACTCAACATTTGACGAAATGTAGTGTATTTGAATATTCGTTGTTAATCCCTAAACTATGAATGCAATTCAATACATATAATTACTCAGAATTTTTCTTGTGTACATTCTGTCTATTTACAGGTCTGGATTGCATCTGGTCCGTTGCCCAAATTCTCTCATTCTATGGAGCCTGTTTTACGTCAGTTAGGAATGCCTGTTAAACTAGTCAAGGGTGTTGTTCATTTGGAGAGAGAGTATCTTGTGTGCAACAGAGGAAATGTTCTTTCACCTGAACAGTGTCGTATTCTAGTAAGTAACGGTTGTGTTTATGCAGCTTCACAATATTCATCCGGAACTTTTACAAACAACAAAATAAATTAGTCAGATATCTCACACTAATATTTTTCGACTACTTTCGGTTATCTTGTCAGACTTACAAGTACATTCGCTTATAGGTTTTAATCCATAAACTCTCTACAATGATTTATACTAATCATTTTGGTTGTAATACCCAGTAAGTACATTTAGCGTAGTACTAAGTTAATTCGATTTTTCACCATTTTTCTTCTCAAATTAATTAATTCTTTTAACATATTCCATGTATGTAAATTACAATAAAATGTACTTTCTTCAACAGGTTCTTTGTCGTTCACATTTTTCAGATTTTGTATTAAGTATGGTTACCTAATACTAGTTTTTAAAAGATTTCACATGCTTTACATCGCTACCATTTAATTTGAGGTTAAAATAGGAGTTTCAGTTGTGCAGGATTTCGTGCAGTAAAATAATCAACAGACATGAAATGCTCTCACATGGACTCAGGTATACAGCCACTGTCGGGGAAATCCTACTCACTGCCTTCTCGTGGAGAGGGTGTTGTTTACGAAATTAGGAGGACGAAAAGCGAGTGTCTGGCACTCTAACCGGGCTGGTGGACATGGCGAGTCCACCTAAGGGAGTTGGAAAACCCTGATTCAAACCAATGGTGCACATGGGCTCCAGGATCCTGAGGAAACAAATGGCGTATGAACCTATTGTTGGTCACCAGCTACCATGGGACTGCATCTCCTCACGATGCTCCACTGCCTTGTAGATCAGACCTTTAGGTCAAAGGCTCTGGGTGTTGCCCCTTAAAAAAACATCCTGCTTCAGTTTGGGCACCCGGGCAATATTACAGCCCTCACACAAATCAAATTAGATTTGTGAGGCGCATATTTATCTGGTGCCCATTTGTACCAATATTTATGTGTTTAAATAAATAAAAAATGAAACAAATCGAGGAGTGGCCTTCTAGAAAAATCGCCTTCTTCGTTTTTGACTCTCGAGCAGTGTGGCGGCCCTCACACAAACCAAATGATTATTACTGGAAAAAATTATTCTTGCTTCAACTCGCATTCAGGCAAATCCCACTCACAATCATCTGATAACATTCGTTTTTTTTATACGACGTCACTTATGTATTCCCCTTTATTCACATTTTGCTTATATTTTTCAATTTATACAGCAGCTCGCCTATGATGAAAACCTTGTTCTACCCAAACGATATCAAGTCATTGACTGGTCGGATGTTGAATGCTAGCACCGACTACAAGCACTGAACAAGTGTTTCAAAATCCAAGTATATCATTTAAACTGGTCTTCTTGAACGTTCGCTTATTAATATGGATCGAACAACATGTAGGGTTGGCTGTGTCTTTAGAAAGTTTCAACGTCGATGTTTGTTGTCTATCCGAGATTCGTACTCAAGACTCTAGTGAAGTACTACAAATTCGCTCTCCATATGTCGCTTCGAAAAGCTAGTTTCACGTGCGTTTATCGGAGGACCTTGTGATATCTTCGTCTTGTTTGCACTTACCGATTGGATCCCTATTAACAGTCGGTTATATGTTACTAAGTTAGAAATCCCTATCAAAGTACGAAGAAATCGATTTGAAAAACGATGTCTTTTTGTTATTGCTACCCGGATGCGTTGTACTACAGTAGTGTGGGTCACTTATATCCACACAAGTAGTATATAACGATGGTTGGGGATTGAATGTATTTCGGTAGAAAATCGATAAGGAGAGAACAGAAACGGGACGCATGAACAATGATAACCGGAGACTATGGACTGATATTTGCAGAAGAAACAGTCAAGATTAAAACAACTGATTGATAGTTTGCAAATTAACTGTTTACTGTATGGCTGTCACATTTTAGTGAGATAGCCTATAATTTTCGTGTCAAATACATTCGATTGTCCCCACTCGTGTTCTGTTCACTACACTACCAGTTAACCGTCCTACAGCTTGTGTCCGACAGGTGTTGTGGTACTAGCCGGATACTTGAATGCTCATGTCTCGCGTCTAGGCATAGAGGAGAGTCGTTTGGGTGGCCATTGGGAACTTGTTGGTCGCAGGTCAGATAAAAGTGACCATCTACTGCGATTTCGTTACAGTTTAATTCTGGCTAACACTACCTACTATCACAGTCATCGCCAAAGTAATACTTTACGTCCTGCCCCTGCATCTCAAACCTACTTGAACTCAGAGTGATTACGTAACAATCAGCTACTGCTGGCACGGTTGTGTACAAGACTGGCGTTCTTCTTGGAGCACCTATCTAGAATCGGATCATGTCCGTGTGAGCTTATCTTACTTTTCAGTAGACAACAAATTCATCGTCCTAAATGGGTCGATGTCAGCAAATTAGTTGCAGCTTCTAATGCAACTAAATATCAAACCGAGCTAGGTTTAAAGCTGCTTGTCAGCCCATCAAAAAATACAGGCGAGCATCAGCAGCAATCACATCACACCATGAAAGTGGCGAGTAAAGTTGCTTGCGGCTTTTTGAAACGTATCACTTTTAAGCACTGGGTTTCTTCAGGCTTCTTACAACTCATTGAAGCCCATCGGTCTACTCCGGGTGACCGTGAGTTTGACCACAAACAAAGACTTACGTAATGAAATTGGGCAAAACCTGGGTAAGGACCGAGAAGCCTGGTGGTTGGAGCGTGTTAATAAGTTAGAAGCAGCAACTGCATCTGGTAACTGCCGGAAGCTTTTTCAATTCATCCGAGTTAGTGACGACTGATCCACCTTAAACGGCAGAAGTCCGCAAGGAGCTCTGACATCTGAAGAGCCACAAATCACCAGGCCCAGATGACTTCCAGTGCTTTTTCGGGATATGTTGGCGACTTTTTAACTGAGGAATTGACTAAGTTGTTCCATTCAAGCAGTGGAGTTTGACAGGGTTTCCCAATCTCACCATTCCTCTCCAACTTTGTTATCGTTGACGTTCTGCAAACAGCTCTAATGGATATAGGCAATGGTGGTGTGGATCTTTTGCCTGGAGAAAGACTTTTCAACCTTGAGTATAAGGATGATATTGTCTTACTTTGTGATGTTACTCAGACCATGTAATGTCCACTTATTCAGTCTGCAATCAATGTCCGCAGAAATGGCGTGCACTGTATTTTTTAAGGGCAAAGTAATTTTGCAAGACTAACAGGAGCCTGTTCCTGAAATTACTCTTGGTAGTGAGCAGTTAGAAATAGTTGAAAAGTTCATGCATACGGGTAGCTGTGTAAGTGCTGGTGACGGCGTAACGGACGAGATCCTTTTACGTATGGTGAAAGCCAGAACGACTTATGCTAACCTGGGCTACTTTTGTGGCGTTAGTCTGGCTGTAAAAGGTCGAATCTACGGCGTGTTGGTGAAAGTAGTTTTACTCTATGCATGTGAAACCTAACCCCTCCAAGTTGGGGACGTTAAACGACTCTCTGTGTTTGATCATCATTGTCTCCAAAGGATTGCTGACATCCAGTGGCAACACCATGTTAATAATGCAGAGGTTCGGCATCGTGTGTGCGGTCACATACGATAATCCAATTTGAGTCACCATCTTGAAACATCGACTTCTGTGGCTTGGATATGTCCTATGAATGTCGTCCCAGTGAGTTCCACGTCGTACGTTATTTGCCGACGCCGAGACCGGTTGGAAAACGTGGAGAGGTGGTCAGTGTATAACATGATGTACTGGTATGAAAGAAAGCTATACAGGATTGTCTTCTGTTGGACCTTCATGACTCTCTGGTTGGGGTCCTAGAGATGATGCAGCACGGTTGCTAGAGATGTAATCAGACACGGTTCAGAATAAAAGTTAGTGACTATCCTACTGTAATTTCGGTTTGCTATCTGCATAAAAGTGAACGTAACTTTTTTAACCGGAAGAATTTCTGGTTGTATTTCTCCTAACTGGACTGCTTCTCCTATTATTATTATTGCTATCATTATTATTGTTGTTGTTATTATCATGCACTAGTTTCTTTTCATTGTTGTTCTTTTTATTATTCGCACTTTACCCTCTCTGTCTCTTCACAACTTCATTGTTATTGTGTGGCGCATATATATTTGGTTCCACCATCGTACCAACGTTTACCTTTTTAAATAAATAAGTACATGTTCACATACCTATCGATTATACACCTAAAATGTAAGTGCTAAGTTAGACTACTAACTATTCAGTCACCATCAGTTCGAAATCAAAGAAATAACTTATTTGCAATTTGAAATGAATTTACAGTAAGTAAACAAACGATTTCTGGGAAACAGTTGTTAAGGGAAACACGGAGGAAAGCATGACAACTCTATAGATTTGGCTGTTGAACTACTAGGAAGCTACTCTGTATGTTATTCCTTGTGTTGATTTGTTTTATTGGTGTCATTTATAAGTTGATTTACTTGGTTTCCGCTAAAATATGAAAACGTTTGTAACATTAGTTTTTGTTGGTTTATAGTCATTTCAATTAATTTATTGATAATAGGATCAAATTGAAAAAGATTTTGGTAGTACATTGCGCAATTAATGGGATTTTAGGTATTTCCTTAAAACTAGTCTTCCTAAGTAAATGGTTGGTAACAAATCTTTCTAGAGTATCACTGAGATTTGCGAATACTGTGCCCAAATCGGAGGTGGCAAAATGGTGGATACTCAGCTACTTGAGTCTCATCTAATCGAATCAGATTTAGTTATAAAAGGTAACGACATCCGGTTCTCACTTTCGATTCTAAAATGATCTTACTTTTTCGTTTTTCTATGCCGGAGACATTTTCTCTTAGAGATACGATTTTCAAAAGACTGCATGTATGCATACCTTGACACCTTTCTCGACATCAGCCTGATGGTGTTGTAGTAGTGTAGTGAACGAGAACACAAGTGAGGACAACCGAATGTATTTTAATACAACATTACAGAATATCTTGGTAAAATCTGAGAGCCATACTGTGAATACCTCATTTGCAAAATGTCCATCAGTTGTCTCAGACTTTGTTGTTCTTTTGTTTCCATACCAATCACTTTCTGTTCTCGTTCTCTTCGATTTTCTCAACCTTCTGCCGCCAAGCATTCCACTTTCGATTAGTGATACGTACTACTTATATCTGTCATCATCAGTAGCACAACACACTAGGACTTAACTTTTCCTCATGTTGATCCGAAAACTACTCAATTACCTGTCGAAACAAACTTGGTATCTATTATGAAGAATAATTGAATCCATAAGTACATTTATCTATTCGAATGTAGTTTAGTGAATCTTGAAATGAATAGACATCTTTGAGAAAGTAAGGTGATGACCATATGATAACGACAGTAAATATATTAGTAGTTGCAACTTAGGTAGGTTTAATTATCAATACGATGTATTATTGTCTTGATAACTAAAAAGAAAACTATTTCAGCACCTCCACTGACTTCGATTTCGAATTGTTGCATAATTCTTTTAACTTTTGGGAAAGAATCTTAGTCTGAAATAACCACTTTTAATTTCATGGTATTGTTTCATAAAATGTCGACTTTTCTCAGCATCTGTAATAGCTAAACGCAGTTTTAGTTTTTATCAAACTTGTCCAACTGTTTTTATCGATACTTATGGGGATTATATGTGTATATCCATCTAAACTGTACAAATTATGACTTGTTGTTTCGTCTTCTGAGAAAATTGTCATTTTTAAAATTACTATTGTTGAGAGATACAGTGTACAAAGTATACTCTATCTTACTGTTAAGATAGTAGTTTGTAAATTTTTGTATTTGTTTATAAGTTATAATTTTCGAAGTATTTTGTATTTCAGAAGTTATTTCAAATTGAAATCTCTGAATTTCGCGTTGGTCTGCTTGCAGTTTGGACAGACGGTGAGGGAGTCGAAGAATTAGCAGAAAAAGATAGTTGTATGATGCGCACTTCGCTCCATCCTGAAGTTCTTGTTGTTTGTAAACAGTTAGATGATGGTTTATATTACTTTATTCCGCAACCGTATGTAAAGAAAGGCGAATCATTTGTTAACGAAGCTATGGAAGAGGACTAATACTTTTTTCTAAATATATAATTGTAGATACCATTGGTAATATTTTTTTAAGTCACTCTAGCTGAGGTTTATGATAAAGTTTAACGTTATTCAGTGTTACCAATCTTTAAATACTCTGACTTCAACTAAACCATTTAATAAAGTAACACTCGCACAAATGTAAGTGAATGTGATGTGAGTTAAACTAAGACAATCTCTAAGCCTGTTCAAACTGTATTATGTATATGTATATCGCTAAAGCATTGTTATCTATCACAGGAAGAAGCAAGATCCTCAAATACAACACGGAGAACGCCAAGTCAATCACACTTGATGACGAAATTTTGGGAGATGTAGAATCATTCACGTACCTGGGAAGCATCCTCGATGAACAAGGATGATCTGATGCAGACATAAGTGCAAGGGCGGCATTCCTACAATTAAAGAACGTAAGGAACTCAAAACAACTGTCAACCAATATCAAAGTGAGAATTATCAATACGAACGTCAAGACAGTCGTACTGTAGGAAGCCGAAACGTGGATGCTAGTACAACCGCCGTCAAGAAGGTACAAGTATTTATAAACATTTGTCTACGCAAAATACTCAATATTCACTGGTTGGGTGCCATCAGCAACAGCCTTCTGTGGGAAAGGACAAAACAGCTTCCAGCTGAAGAGGAAATTAGGAAGAGACTCTGGAAGTGGATAGAACATATTGAGGAAATCACTAAACTGCATCACGAGGCAAGCCCTAACCTGGAATTTTGAAGGGAAGCGAAAAGGAGGAAGGCCAAAGAACACATTACGCCGGGAAATAGAAGTAGATATGAAAAGGATGAATAACAACTGTAAAGAACTAGAGAGGATTGCTCGGAGCAGGGTTGGATGGAGAATGCTGGTGGGCGGCCTATGCTTCTCCTCAAGAGGTAACAGGCTGTTATCTATCTTATCAGGCCAATGAGTTGTAATCATTAAAAAGCATTTACAAAAACCTGTGTCTTATTACAAACTTCTGCCTAATTTTTCACTCAAAGTGATTAATAGGGGACCGCCTATGCTGTTTGAATTTAAATTTTTGTACTCATGACTTTTCTTCGCTTATGACCAATCAACAAGAAAATTCAACATTTAAGTGAATTATACAGCAACTCTTTGTAACAACTAAGTGAACTTACTCCAATATTTTGGTAGATTAATAATGAAATCAAAGTGCACGTACCTTATTTTATTTATTTATTTAAACACATAAATATTGGTACAATGAAGCACCAGATAAATATGCGCCTCACAAATCTCATTCGATTTGTGTGAGGGCTGAGATACTGCCCAGGTGCCCAGACTGAAGCAGGTGGTTTTCTTAGGGGGCCACACCCGGAGCCTTTGACCTGAATGTCTGATCCACAAGGCAGTGGAGCATCGTCAGGAGATGCAGTCCCATGGCAGCCCTTGACCAATGACAGGTTCATCCGCCATTCGTTCCATCAGGATACTGGAGCCCATGTGCACCATTGGTTTGGAATGAGGGTTTTCCAACTCCCCTAGGTGGATCCTCCGTGTTCACCAACCCGGTTAAAGCGCCGGACATTCGCTTTTCATCCTCTCACTTTCGTAAACAACACCCCCGCCACGATAAGGCAGTGAGTAGGACTTCCCTGGCAGAGGCTATATATTCGCTGGCCATATGAGAGCATTTCGAGAGGGAGAGGTGACTCTCCCCACTCTCGGCCGTACCAGGGCATTTGGGGGCAAACATTGTGATGGAGGTGGGATTTTAATTGTGACCCTCTACACATTGTCTAACTGGTTATCCGCAGTTTATAAACTATTTCTGTTACATGAAAACAGAGTCCATTTATTCATTGATGTTGGCTGAAATCCCATTATGCATATTCATTATCAGTTTGCCTATTACAGGAGATATATGTATCCTAAACGCATAAAAAATTTTTCAAAATTTTGGTTACAACCTACACTTTATTGAACCTTTTGATTTTTAAGGTGATGGCAATTTTAATATGTCACGGTGTTGACTTGAAAATATATGTGAAGTTACTCCAGATCGTGGAATCAAAAATCTAATGTCTCCAAGCTTTATAGGATGATCGTATTTGCTTCCATTCAAGAACTGATTTCCCAGCCAGTGTAATTAATTACAAACTACTAAGTCCTATTAAATAATATATTACTGTACTACCTATTCGATAAGTTTTTTCTCACTCACTACGAACTCGATCGTTGCTTCTACCTTGACGTGATGGCCAGGCTTGCCTATCATGATAAACCAATCGAGCTATACTGGCTGGAACGATCGCTCCACAAGATCCTACCATGCTAGGCAGGTCGGTTGAAGAGCGTTAAGACTAAAACCAGCAAACCCAAGGTCCGAAGTCGTACTGCTGACTGTACAGAGGTGTGACGGCAGTGAGTTGTTTCCTTCAGACAACTAGCATAACAGCGATGCTGCCTTGTCACAAGCAGGGTTGGGTGAGGTTAGAAAATGTCGACCCTAGAAATGCACATCTCACCTTATCCCATAGATATCCGTCTCCGGCGATATGGTTCCAACAAGTACGGAGCTAACACGAAAATCACTCACAAAAAGGTCGTATGTGACCGATCTCAAGCAGTTGTCCATCGGGCACTGCAGTCAGGTTCTCAGGTCATTAAGACCACCCCTAACCTAATTTCCTTCTCAGGTACCTCAAGAAGAACCCTTCCACGGTGTGGGCAACCGGGAAATGATAACTGCCCTCATACCTCTACTAGCACTCAAGATCTCTGTATTCATAACCAATCTCCTTCTTCAATTCCTATTACTCCCTTCACCTCGACTTTCAACAATAAACTTCCTTTTTCGGCTTCCTCCTCAAGCGAAACACTGTCCCAGGTCTACTGAAACCTCGCTCCAAACTACACATTGGAGCCTTCAACGCCCGCACTCTATGTCAAATCGGTCAACAGGCCTCCTTGGCTAAGACCCTAGAATCTCGTACCGTTGATGTATGTTGTGTCTCCGAAACATGCAAACAGGATCCTAGTGTGGTCATTCACTTGACCTCACCTTGCCAAAATGAAGAGCTCGATGGAAGATTGTCGGTCGTACTGGAATACCTGTTTGGTCTCTGATCACACTTTAATACGAGCACGCATTCGTTCGTGCGTCATTGGACGCAGAAATCCCACACTAAGAAGACCCATTAGAACTGAACTCCGTGACAGAAAAGCCAAAAGTAGATTCCGGGAACAACTGAGGTCACACTTAGTTTGGAAAAAGGGGCTGACTCAGATGTTGCTTGGAAAGATATACGAACAGCAGTGACATCTATTAATGATTTAAACCATAGGGTTACGAAAAACCAATGGGTTTCTACTAAGTCCATTGCACTAATGGGTTCTCGTAAACTCATCTCATCAGGCTTTGAACACGATGAAGAGCGAAAGCAAACCAGATCTAGGTTAACCGAATATCTAAGGTACGATCGCGAGCAGTGGTGGGCAACGAAAGCAAAAGAGATGGTAAAGGTAGTGGCTGAGGTTGACACCAGACAACTCTCCAGATTAATAAAAGAAAACGGAATTAAGAAGTCAATTGTAAGCGAGACAATCTTGGTAAAAGATGAGACTCATCTGCTCTTAACCAAGACGTTTAGAACGATGGGCGGAACACTTCAGGGAGCAGTTCGGCTGACCTTCAGCTACCCACCACTCCCAAACAGTCTGAATGGAACATTGAAGGTCAAAAACCCATAGCTAATCTGAAACGAGGAAGAGCAGCTGGTCCAGATGGATTGGCTCCACAGGTCTTTAAATATAGTGGTCCAATTTTAACGATTAAGTTGACGAATATTTTAGCTAAAATCTGGGAGTTGGACGTAATCCAATTCGACTGGTCGTAATCACTTATTGTCCCAATATATAAGAAGGGATCGAAATCATCCTGTGATAGCCATAGAGGGATTAGTTTGACCAACATAGCATTCAAAATACTATCCTCAATAAGTATCGGGCGCCTAACAAAGACTGCAAACACGAGAAAATCAAGCTGGCTTCAGACCTTGTCGTGGTTGCATCGACGACACATTCACCAGTCGTCAGATTTTAGAACACACGCATGCTTACCAGCGTCCGACAATGATAGTTTTGATTGAATTAAAGTCAGCATTTGACTCTGTAAACAGAGGTTCTGTTACAGTGTTTGTGATTGAAAGGTGTACTTCAGAAATACATAAACCTTGTGAAGGCTCTTTATTCGAACACTACTAATCGAGTGAAAGCTTATGGCGAACTGTCATCTGATTTTACAACCTCAACTGGTGTTCTACTAGACTGTCCACTATCCCCACTTTTGTTTAACTTCATCATAGACCTACTGTTGGAAGCGACGCTCTCGTCGACTGAAATGTGCTTTTCCCCCTCTAAATGTTAATTGTTACTCCAGGACTGGCCTGCGTCAACGCCTGAACTAAGGATAGATAATGAGGTAGTCGAACGCGTCGACAACTTCACTTATCTTGGAAGTCTGATCAGCAATAATGGGTTGGTTCCTGACGAAATCTCAGCACGGATTCGAAAAGCTCGTTTGGCTTTTGCCACCCTACGTCACCTATGGCGAAGACGAGATGTCCGTCTATCAATTAAAGGACGAGTATACTGCGCATCAGTTCGCTCTGTTCTACTTTACGGTTGTGAAACATGGCCATTAAGAGTAGAAGATACTCGTAGGTTACTAGTATTTGACCACAGATGCCTCAGAAATATTGCTCGCATCTGCTGGGATCACCGGGTAAGTAATAGTGAGGTTAGACGCAGGGTATTAGGGAACGATGGTAAATCAATTGATGAGGTGATGAATCTTCATCGACTGAGATGGTTGGGCCATGTGTTACGTATGCCTGAACACCGATTACCACGACGCGCCATGATGACTAGTACTGGGGATTGTTGGAAGAGAGTTAGAGGCGGCCAAACCAAAACATGGCATCAGTGTTTGAAGTCACTAACTTCTAGTCTGAACCATGTTGGTAGATGCAGACTACTTGGCAACCCGGTCCCACGTTGTAGCAGATTGGCTGTCTGACGCAGTAGAAAATGGATACAGTAATGTAAAATCACGGTAACAGGTCGTTGTAGAATAAATGAAGCTTCATTTGATACACCTTGGACCGCTACTTCAGGAAAGGGGTCCTCAACTAGTGCTTCGCCAATAAAACTGGGAATATCCATGTTTAGTAGCGACTTCGACATACTAAATAAATGCATACCTTCAATTACAAGTTTGGTTATAAACACTGGCAGTTATAGTGATTAAAATGAAGTGACTAGTAAGTCATTCTAAAACTTAAAAAATCATAAGAATTTCCCAGAGAACAGTTTATTTTAAAAGTACAGATTAATAGATTATGTTGAAGTTCCTCTAGAGATTTTCTCCAAATTGGTCATATGTTCTTCTTCTTCTATGGAAACATTTATTCGTGTTATCTTATCGTCAAAGAACTGTGTAAACCACTCGAGATGTTGCTTTTTGTCGTCAACACTAAAATATGGGTTTTTCGAAAGCCCGGTGCAAACAAGTTCCAAGAACGATGCCAATGGTTTACACTTGAGATGTTCCTTATTTAGGTGGTTTTCCAGAAATACATGTTCATGAAAAGGTACATCTAACTCGGAATTCCAATCTGTAAAGTAAACAAACAAGGTGTGGAGTTTTAGTAGATTGAATTGATAAACTACCATATGAGAAAATAATCTCGGTTTTTTTTCTGTATTGAGTGTTTAGTAGGTGCTTTTTCGTAAAATATAAACAGACTTATGGACTGGTGCTATTTTGGTTTGGGTACCCCTAGCTTCCTTCCAACCTAATCTTTAATCAACTAACACTGTTTGTCGATATATACGTTGCTTGGGGATACACTTACTTGGTAGCGTGTCTAACATCGGCATCACTCACTTGGTGATTTCGACATGCACAAGCAATACTTCGGAAACATCTATAAATACTAGTAATTTGCGAATATTATATATTTTTAAAGGCTATGTTTTGCAGCCGTGCTGTAAAACGGAACGAAATACTGGCTAATTCTTATCTAATCAGCTCTAGTCGTTGCTTGGAGAGGACTCTAGAAGCTTCTCATGTAAAATCTATAAATATACTAACGTATTTCTTATTGCGCTTCCTACTTCATCTATCTTTGTTATTTGGAATATAATTTCTTCCCTGTTCAACCGTGTTCTGATTTGGGGACTCGTCGAGTGTATTGATGTCCAAGAATGCTAAGCAATAGGAATAGCTGGGTCGTAATAAGGAATATATATATTAATAATTATAACAGTGGCGACGGGGAAAAAGGAAAATTCATTCAAAATGCCGATATCAGACGACCAGCTTAACCGAATACTGCAGCAACAGAAAGCACAAATGTGCTTGTTGGAAACTCTGACGCAACAGCTTAACATTCACTGCTCCAGTTCACATGCTACTTCAAGTACTTCTTGTGATGCAGTTGTCAGCAGCAATCCAGAATTCTATTATGACCCCGAATGTGGAAATACATTTCTCACGTGGTTCAAGCGTTGGGAAGACACATTTAGAATAGAAATCTGTAAACAAGATGACGCATGAGACTTGACTGTTGATGCGCAAGTTGGGAAGTCATGAACATGCACGCTATGCTTATCATATATTACCAAATTTACCTCGAGAGCTTGGTTTCGAGGAGACAGTATCTCAGCTGTCAGAAATATTCGGTGAATCTTCCTCATTGTTTAGTATTCGATATCAGTGTCTTTATTTGTTGAAACGGGAAACCGATGAATATGGTGCTCTAGCAGACATCGTCAACAGAAAATGTGAAAGGTTCAAGTTACGCTCGTTGACAGAAGATGACTTATATTTATCAAAGCTCTTCAGTCACCACAAGATGCTGAGATTATAACCAGACTTCTAACTCGTTTGGATCAAAATCCTAACGTCACACTCAGGACATGGACAGATGAGTGTAAACGCCCACAAAACATCAGACACGACAACCAGTTAATTGAACAGGTAAATTCTAATTTAACCTGCAGTAGTGTAAATGCTATTACTAGGTTAAAAAGTCAGAAGCCGAATAAAACTCGTAACAAGCCAACGGCTGTTTGTTGGTTATGCGGCGATTGGCATTATGTACGATTCTGTCCATTTAAGAAGCATAAGTGTCAGGTGTGCAACAGACGTGGACATAAAGAACGCCATTGTCCACCGAATCGTACGTCCCAACCCAAGAAGAAGAATAAACGTCCTCTACGTGTGGTGAAATCAGCCGAGTCTAAATCTCTTTCTCTGGTAGCAGCTTTTCAAACAGAATGACATTCAGATAAGTACGTTACTATCCAGATAAACGGCATTTTAGATCGTCTTCAAATTGACACGGCATCAGATATCACCCTAGTATCCAGAGAAACGTATAACTTGCTGGGAAAGCCGCCAATGAAGCCATGGAAGAAAACGGCTAAAAACGCATCTGCAGGTGTACTAAGACTAGTTGGCGAATTACAATGTGAATTTTCCTTCAATGGAACTAATTGTAAAGGAACATGCTATCTGACTGAACGGTCAAACCTTGATCCCTTTGGGCTAGATATGTTAGGGCAACTTGGACTAATGGTTAAACTTATTACCAGTGTCTGCAATATGTCGTGTTCATCATTGGACACCCCGATACTTACAAAAGTGCCTGGTGCAAAGTCACCGTAATAGCGTGTACATTTAGACTTCGCGGGTCCACTCCATGGACAAACTTACCTTCTGGTAGTTGGCGCATACAGCAAGTGGCCAGGAATCTTCATCATGGAACATCCAACTGCAAGCTGCACAGTCAGAAAGCTACGTCAACTATTCAGTCGTTTCGGGGTCCCAGAATCGATAGTAAGCGACAATGGAACACAGTTTACGTCTGCTACCTTCTCAGAATTTTATCGGCAGAACGGAATCACTCATGTCCGAACGCTGCCATTCTATCCCCAATCCTATAGTCAAGTGGAACGCTTTGTCAGTACATTTAAAAATGCTCTGAAAAAATCTAAAGGGGAGGGTACCACCGAAGAGATCTTAGAAAGGTTCCTGCTTATCTATCGCTCTACACCGAACCCTCAGCCGATTAACGGGGTCTCTCCAGCAGAAGCTCTACTTGGCAGAAAACTACGAACACATTTCGATGTCATCTGTCCAACGCCAGCTCTTGAGCCTCAACGGAACTTATCGATGGAGAAGCAGTCCAATCGACACCATGGGGCACAAAGAAGATTATTCACGGTGGGTCAAAAAGTACTTGCTATGGACTATCGTGGTAAACATCCTACGTAGACAGCTGGTCGGATCGTGAAAAAGAAAGGGAAAGTGGTTTATGAGGTGGCAGTTGGCTTAGAAATTTGGCTACGTCATGCTAATCAATTGAAAGCAACTTCGATAGCCAGCAACGAGACTCGGCATCGAATGCCTCTCGACGTTCTGCTAGACACCTTTGAAATCAAAACGCCAGGAACAGACAGGTCAATTTCTGTGCAAGCTAAGAATGATACAACTTCCTTAAAATAATCAAGAGACATGAAATGCTCTCACATGGACTCAGGTATACAGCCACTGTCGGGGAAATCCTACTCACTGCCTTCTCGTGGAGAGGGTGTTGTTTACGAAATTAGGAGGACGAAAAGCGAATGTCTGGCACTCTAACCGGGCTGGTGGACATGGCGAGTCCACCTAAGGGAGTTGGAAAACCCTGATTCAAACCAATGGTGCACATGGGCTCCAGGATCCTGAGGAAACAAATGGCGTATGAACCTATTGTTGGTCACCGGCTACCATGGGACTGCATCTCCTCACGATGCTCCACTGCCTTGTAGATCAGACCTTTAGGTCAAAGGCTCTGGGTGTTGCCCCTTAAGAAAACATCCTGCTTCAGTTTGGGTACCCGGGCAGTATCACAGCCCTCACACAAATCAAATTAGATTTGTGAGGCGCATATTTATCTGGTGCTTCCTTGTACCAATATTTATTTGTTTAAATAAATACATAAATCTTCCCTGTTTAATCGTGACCTGATTTAGGGACTTGTCGAGTGTAATGGTGTCCAAGAATACTAAGCAATAGGAATAGCTGGGTCATAATAAGGAATATATATACATTATTAATTATAACATTAAGATACCTTAAAGGAATGGACTCATCATAAACGGTTATTTTACTTCACACATGCAAAACAAATACATATACCTTGTTCATTATTAATTGGAAAACTCCACATTTTCTTTTCGACAGTCCACTTTAACCATTCTTCGAACTGGTTGTTTGGAAGAGCGCAACTGAAAAGTGAGGCTTCCAAATTCTCAACAGCATCAAAAATGAGGTTTAATGAGTTGCAAGAATCAGCGGGTAGGACTAAAACTTAACTAGATCTGAAAGTCACCTACCATTTTCATGAGTGAATATATTTACATTAGCCGGTGAAGGAAGATCGACGAATCTTGTTGTTGGTGCGTCATTATCTTGCATAAAGTTACTATTGCAAATAGAAAACAAGCTTACCGAGACGATATTCTTTAATGAAATCGCTAAGGAGATCCCTAAAATTGTCCGTCAAAAGTTACTAATATAACAAAACAGCACTGACATACTTTGACGTTACGATGTTTGTAGATTTTGCATAGCTACAGAGTAAATCATTAAAAAAACAACTTACTCAGACACATCACCTGATGTATCAACAGATTCTAGATTATCACTATTGCCTTTGCTGCGTTTTAATCGTCTTAAAATATAAAGCTTTAAGATAAACGGCTAACTTTGTATTCGCTGATCTGAACGGTGTTGCAGTCAAGCATTTGAAATGATTAAAATTAGCATGGAACCTAATATTTACTAGGCAACAACCATTAGCAAACTAACCTTGAAAATATGCTCGAATAAAGGATAGCCATTAATAAAATACAAAGTTTGTTAGAGAACCGAATTAAGGACTAGTAACTCGGAGGTTCTCAGAATAGTCCTTCAATCAGTATTTTACCTACATGAAGAGAACAACGTATGCATGAACGTTTTCAACAAGCAGGTTAGTCATAAAGATCTCATAATGTCCATATGGAATAACCCTTGTGGCCCAATTCTTTTACGTTCCCATCTTAAAAATTTTGCAGTGACTTGAAAATAGGCACGTGGCCCATACGAAATAAATGAATATGACCACGAAATCAGAAGCTTTCAAGCTAAGGAACAACTAACAGACAGTCAGAGGGGATTATTTTCTTATTTTAGCAAACTGATGTTACCACAAAAACCCCTGTTAGATAAAATGACAAGGCTCGTAACAGACTGTAATCCATTTAGTCACGATCCAGGAAATATCCTGCGTCACAACAAGCGATCGACGTCCCTAAATAAAGTCTCGAGATCAATGGCATAAAATGCTTCTGATAAAAAAGCTGTTGAGAGTATATTTAGATGTAAATAGTGTAAATTATTTTCTAGTGGCCAGGACCTTAGTCTAAATTACCAAGGGGGAAAATCAGCATTAGGACTTGAAAGCATGCCCCTACTCCATGCGAAACTCCACTGTTGGTAACCAGATTCTCGATAGAATGTGGCATATACTGGAAATGTGAATATTCTTACATAGACGGATCGAAATTTCCCTAGCGAACTGTTCTAAAGAGCGAATTATTCGCAATTTTGTCTTTCATTTCAAGATCTATTAGTCGGAGTATAAGGATTAAATATCAGTACACCCAGACTGACCCAAGACATGGCAACATAAAAAATTAGAGGGTACAATGATAATTTAATATTAAAAAAATTTAGGTATTTATTACCTTTATTGAGTAATTGTTGATAGTATACTGGAATATCCTACTAGGCTAAATCGATGTGATGATAGATCTCAAAAGCCATACAGATTAGAAACTGAAGGTGAAGTCGACAACAAAATTTTCTACACTTATAAATGTTAACACTGAAGAGCCTAATGAACTATGTTAGTATTTTTCTGTATATGTGGTAGATTTCTGTCAGTGTGAACAAGCTTTCTACTGTTTTACTCTAAAAGTTGCTTCCGACTGATTTTTTCTCAGGTTGTTTCATACTAAAGACCACGAGACAGGACTTTTGCTGATGAGCTTAACGTTAATGATGACTAAATGAGTGACACCAATGTTGCATTGTGGAAACAAATATAAATTACCAGGCAGTCGTGATACGTTGAAATGTATATTTTTTTCTTGAATTACAGGCAACCTAATCCAGTGACTGATGACCTAGTCTAGGAGGGAAAACATGTGAATATGCTTTGAAATACAAGGAAGTCTATACACTTTTTACCGTATGAAGAGTAACAATAAAACACCCTTCCCGCGACAGAAATAAGTTTTCCTAACAATGAGCATAAGGTGAATTTGTCAACCTAAACGATTCACCAATAGCATTTGTTGTTGAGATGGTCTTCAAGGAATAATTACAAAAAAATTTTCTGTTGGCGGTTTACTAAAGAAAATTGTGATGTTTATCTCTTGATATAGCTCATGGATACATACAGTATGGAAGAGGGTAAAAAACTTCACAAGCCATACATTGAAAACACAAACCAACCATAACAATAACAGGACAATGAGTGACGACCAACAAGTTACGCGCCTGGGAGACTTTCAATCTTTAGTTTCAATCTTCAGTAATAGGGTTAGTTGATCAGTTGAATTAACAGAAAGTATGCTGCTCAACCATTCAGAATAGAGAAGATGAATCCAGGGTCATGTAGATCAGCAGCTAGGGATCGGATTTTCACCATGAACTGACAAAATGTCCAGAAAGTTTGTGTTTGAATCAGGGGCATCAGTAGAAAAGCCATGGACACATTTCAGGCAGTTATACAATCAGAGAACTCAACCATACATAACCTGGACATTCCCAAGGAAGAAGAAACACTGCCATCCCTCTATAGGTTGGTTTTTCGATGTTTACCTAGGAGACTATTCTCGTACATAAATTACAGAACAAGGGTGCAGCATTGGATTCCCAACCTAATTAAAAAGGGGATTAGATCTAAATTGGTAGAGGAAAAAATAGAGGCTATAGCAAACTATTTCGGGGTAGTTTTCACTCAGAAACCTCATCTAGACGAAGAACTAAACCCAAATACAAAGTCAACAAACCGTCTGCTAACCATGGACTCGGATCGAGATGATGTACTTGAGGCTCTTAGCACCTTAGACATGGAAACGTCAACAGGACCGAATGGACTACACCCCAAAATCCTGAGGCATGTTGCACAATATATTGCAGCCCCATCGACTGTGATATGCTATATGACACTTGACCAGGGTGTTTTACCTACGGACTGGAATGATGCAATCGTCACTCCCGTGCATAAAACAGGACCAAGACAACTTCCATCGAACTACAGACTTGTCAGCTTCACCAGTGTCGTGCTCAAAATACTGGAAAGAATAGCCGACCATAATGACATTCATGGAAACCAACAAATCGTCAAACAGAGAACAACGTGGTTTCAGAAAAGGTTTATCTTGCACAAAAACCTCCTTATAGCAAGGGATCAGTGGATAGAGGCTCTAGGCAATAGAAAACCAGTGGATGTGGTCTATACAGACTTCAGCAAAGCATTTGACAAGGTGCCAACAAATAAACTACTATTGAAGTTGGAGAGTCTTGGCATTGCCGGATCTCTCTTAAAAGTGGATTAAGGATTTCTAGTAGGTCGTAGAGAGAAAGTAAGAAAAAACTCGAACTCCACCTGGAGACCAGTACTTAGTTGAGTACTGCAAAGTCCTGTCCTAGGTCCTTTACTTTTTTTTACTGTATGTAAAGATCTCCCAATTATAGTTGTGTTTTCAATGTTGTTATTCACTGATTTAAAAATCTGGCGAGAAATAACGGGAGACGCAGAGCGTCAACAGAGCAACACTTCCACATATTCGTGATAAAATGTCCTAGGGACAATCGCTAATCGAACCTTGAAAATAACAGACGATTGCGCTGCTGAAGCTTCAAAATGCTATGGTTTGAGGTTACAGCAAATAAGTTCAACTGTTAAATCTTTATCTGTGGAATAAATAATACAGATGTTGACAGGATTTCGATATAACCTTACAGATAATCACGAAGCCTGACAGATTTTAAACACGTTACAACAATGGTCCAACTGAAAGCATAACTTTTGGAGTTTGGGATCGTTAAATGCAGTTGCAACCTCTAATTCCCCTGGAAGACCGACTAAAAGCAAATAATCACCCATTAACATTTGTTAAACTGCAACTGACTATGCTTGGTGGTTTAACTGACCAAGAATCTCCTATTATGTTTAAAAAATAACTCAAGTATTTACCCAGAACTTGATATGGTCTGGGTGTTGCGTCCTCTGTCATCTTATATTTAAACCCAAAATGTTTGTGAGTTTGTATTAGGACTTTACGCTTCACTCGTTCGACACATTGGGTAATAAGCAACCACAACATCTAACTTGGCGTCTTTTTCGTCTCTACACCGCGATGCGTAAATATAAGTTCAACAGAACAGTGTTGACCAAAGCAGTATAAGTGCCATGTTGTCACTACCCATCAAAATAATGTCAGTCAAATTCACTTGATGTTGTTTGCTTGTATCTTCTCATTGTTATTAAGAACTGCAATTGATTGGTCTTTTGTTGGCACATGTGCATCCTGTGCAGATTGCTTCGATATTGCCTTAAGTCATAAGCTTTGTAAGCAAAAATGGATAGTGGATAGCAATGGAATCCAGAACGCGCGTTTTGTCCTATTTGGGACTCGTCAGCTTGATGTGCCTGCGTCTGAGCGCCGATGTTCACAGAATGCATATATTCCAACAAGGTTCTGATCGATCACGGTCCTAAACAAGAATCGGAAGATACAAGCAAAAGACACCAAGTCAAACTAAATATCACTCCGTTGCACAAGAGAGTGGCTACAAGAACTCAGTTGCTAAGTGGATAATTGGATAGCATTTGAAATGAACGGTACTGGGTTCGAGTCCACGAGCGAACATTTACTCTGAGATGCAAGTACATCTGGCTGACGAGTCCCGAATAGGACGAAACGCGCATCCTAGTTCCCATTGCTACTCGCTATTCATCTTTGTTAAATATCAGTCAATTTTCGTCTTGAAAATATGAAGCATTTAAAGTGATATTGTGTCTCAACCATTGACACAGATCACCCACGTTGATGATCTATAAGCCGTTTGTCGCTCCGTGATTACACACAATGTTTAACCATTTAGTAACCTCTGTAGCTCATGTTACACATTTCTCACTCCCAACACAATGTGCCTTTGCTGTACTGCTGTTTTGTATGTATTAAGTAAATAGCCATATTGAGCTTTCTTCTGATCTACATAACGTACTGCTCAACTATCGGTAGCATCGCGCATACAACTCCCCAAAACCGCCTCTCTCCATGGTCCGGTAAGGCTTGATACAATTGGAGATTTCTTGGCTGAAAAATCCTAGACTATTAGTAACTGTCCATAAGAAACCCCATCAGCTACAACATAATGTGGGTCACTTTTAATTTTGTTTTCTCCAGCAGGTTTTCAGTTTTATCACACATTTTACTATCCGACCACTGATTTTTAAATCTTCGCTCAACGCCTTGAAAGTTTTGGATTCTCACACACTTCCATGTAGTAGTTTATATCTGTTGATTTACTTTTTGGAAACTTATGCATTATCCCATACTACAATGCAATACTATTTCGATGTTCAACCAACACTCTATCAGCTTAACTTCCTGATAGGTCTACAAATAATACATTTAGAAATACCGTTTCCTAACAGGATGTGGGACATGAACTCCGAAATGAAATGCAACTGCGATCTAATAATCACTTTTAAAGTGCCTAACATCCGAAGGGAGGGAAGGTGGAGTTACTGACAACCAAGCATTGAAAGTGAAAGCGGTGATTTCAATTCACTCATGTTTGAGGGGCGACATTTTGTTTGCTTCAAACTGTTTATGGTTGGTGACGAGAAAGCCATCCACCAATATTGAGGTTACTCTTTCATGTATCCTGCTTTATACACTCATGTTTTCTGCCTCATATCAATTCCGCCATACTAAACAGCTTTTTAATTGCGTCGAATTTCAAACGCTTAGAAGTAGATATTACGGTTTGAATTCGGTAATAATTATTGAAAACTTATCCGTATGCCTCCATACCACTCTCAGTCGGATGAGTTAACTGAAAAGTACGTGAACATTTTAAACGGAACACTATGAACTATGGTAGGGGATGGGATGGCAAAGAAAATTCTCGACTTTTCATTGTTAGTCTACGTAAATTCACCAGATTTGCTAGCACCGAAACAAGTTCAGCCTCTGAAAGCAATATTTTGCCATGAATATTAAAACCGTCCTTGATAGCAAAAGGCAAAGAAACAAAGTATAAGAATACGACGTCCGAAGACGGAGACATGATTTGATCGCTGCCATTGGACGAAATTCAAGATTTTTCGGAATAAACGAGGAATATACGCTCGTAATCTCCATTACTTACTTCATGATGGTACTATAATTGATGGACGGCCATCGAACGATGCAAATGGCCTCGGGAAAATTCTCCTAACTACTAGGGTTTAGAGGGGGTTACAAATTAGTATGGAAAATGAGAGTTGGGATTTAGAATTGAAGGTCGGGGTTCGGGGGGCAGAGTTGGGGTTTTCACCACTAAATAACATGAGCTATAATGTCGAAATGCTATTTAGCCCATTGATTTCGTGCTAAAACCGAGGACTCTACAACATCAAGCTAATCGGCTATTATATAAATTAAAGTCCCGCTGCTTCTTTAGTGGACTGGTAGATTGATACTTGAACGGTTAAGGAAGGTAAAGCATATGGTGAAAGTGAGGAGTTGAAATTTGATTTATCGAGATAATGAAAAACAGAGATTTTCAGATGCCACACAAACTATAAGGGTGGACGCAAAATAGAATACCACCCCGGAAATTTTTGACTTGATATGTCCATAAAGTCGTAATCCTCATAAATCAGAACAGAGCCCTATACGGTCAGCACCGAAACTTTTAAAAACTCGAGATTTTCCAGAGAAACTCAAGGAGACCTCACAGTGTTTTTGGAAGAAGATTCAGTGATACCAACTCAGCCATTGTCCTTAACCAGTAACTAATGGTTTTTTCTTTTATGTACTCTGGTTACAGGAACTAGTCACGTTCACGAGAACCCCGACGTAGACAAGCTTTTATCACATATGCACGCTAAAAAATGGCCATTACTACCGACGTCATTAGGAGGGTGTTAGTGTGAGGAAGCAATGAGAAAGTGTAGGTTGGTGTTTAACAAAAGAAATGATTTTGTCTCATCTGTGCCGCTTCATCAATCAAAGCTTGCTATGATAACAGAAGCATGAATCACCAATTATACTTCTGCTTAAATGTGTCTTCTGATAGCTATGACCCAACCCAAAATGACACCTTACAAAGATGAGGCGGAAGATGCTTTACTCATGACCATTCTAAACTAACTTCATTCTCCTGTGATATACCGGGATTAAACGAACTTCAAGACTCACATGTGGATTGCTCTGAAATCTTTGTACAAGGTTCCCCCTATTCGACTGCGTCTATCGTCAGTCTAAAATAACAAAGTGAGAAATAGCAATATTATCAGAGGCCGTTGTGTTGTTTTCATTCCTACCATTCTCAGGCAAGCTTATTTGTGAGGACTTCAACATGCCTGAAATTAACCTGTTTCCATTCAAAGGACCAAAGAATTAAGAGCCTTTTTTGAGGTTCCTAGAGATTGAAGGATGGACTCAGTATGTCAGTAGCCTTACTAGGCGTAAAATTACTTTGCACTTAGCCTTCACCAGTGGCCTTACACCCAACAACGTGTCTGCTAGAAGAATAGTCCCAGGTACTTACCGTGATGTATCCATCTGGATCTGAATGTAAAAATATTAACCAATAAACATAAAAATACCTTGCTTCGTGGAGACTAGTTGTTTTAATGAACTTCTAAAACTCACTAAAAGGGATAGATCTGGACACCCTCTTTACCGAAAACACTGCGGATAGACTGGATAACGAAATGTAGCACAATACTAGTAATATAATGGGCAAGGTAGAACCTTTAGGACGATAAGGACTTAGGATGTTTGGGTATATCCAATGGCATATTTGGAGACGTTTCACCTAATTTCATAAACTGGATGACATTTTTTCTTCAGTTAAGACAACACAAATATTTGTCAAGGCGGAGGTGATGAGTACACAAAATACTGTCGCACAATAAAAAAGACATTGAATTTAGTGTTGGTTCCTTCGCACTTATAAAAGTCCTTCAGAATATGTGTAAATGTGCTTAATTGAAAGGAGAGAGCATATTTATTGGTNNNTCTAACTGTCTTAATGTCTAACTTCTATGAACCCACGATATTGGGCGACAATCTCCCGTTGTCTTCTGTGGGTGACTGCCCCACACCTGACATGGTTTAGATCCAAAAGTCATGGCCTCTCACTAGATCTCTATAAGTTTCAGCTTGAAGCTAGCCATTTGTAAGGATACAAAAATTGTCGGTAAGAAGTTGTGGAAGTAGTTTAGTTTTTATTTAGATCATAAACCGATCTGTCTTTGTGCGTGAACGAATATCACAGATTTGAGTCTCGACTGTGCAATCGTATGTGTGTACTGCTTAAAATTCCCATATTAAAATGAAAAAGTCAAGTGCCTATAGATTTTAAATGGTCAGTCAGTCGGCTACAACGTAGGACTGAGCACATATATGCATCGGTCCAAGTTGCCATACCTCATCAGCACAACAAGATGAACACCGAATTCATAGCAGTAGTTAATTTATTGGTGGAAATATATAAAAGAAAGATTGTATATAAGGATATAATACAGGAAAAAAGACAGATATGAAGCAATTTAAATCTCACGGTTTAAGGGAAGACAAGGAGTGTATACACCTACATCATTGTGATCGGTTCTGAGCCATGTCGCCCAGAGTCTCCAACCATTGGTTACGATAGTCACGCGGACCCCAACCAGGTAGCCTGCATCTACCAACATGGCTTAGACTATAAATTAGTGACTTTGTGGACTGATGCCACATTTAGGTTTGACCGCCCCTTACTCTCTTCCAACAATCCCCACTACTAGTCAGCATAGCGCGTCGTGGTAATCGGTGTTCAGGCATACGTAACACGTGGCCCAACCATCTCAGTCGATGAAGATTCATGACCCCATCAACTGATTTACCATAATTCCCTAATACCCTACCATCTAACCTCACTCACCATTAGTTACCCGGTGACGCCAGCAGATGCGAGCAATATTTCTGATACATCTGTGGTCAAATACTAGTAACTTACGAGTATATTATACTCGTAATGGCCACGTTTGGCAGCCGAAAAGTAGAACAAAGCGAACTGCTGCGCAGTATACTCGTCCCTTAACTGATAAGAAATAAGAAATACAATAAGAAATACGTTAGTATATTTATAGATTTTACATGAGAAGCTTCTAGAGTCCTCTCCAAGCAACGACTAGAGCTGATTAGATAAGAATTAGCCAGTATTTCGTTCCGTTTTACAGCACGGCTGCAAAACATAGCCTTTAAAAATATATAATATTCGCAAATTACTAGTATTTATAGATGTTTCCGAAGTATTGCTTGTGCATGTCGAAATCACCAAGTGAGTGATGCCGATGTTAGACACGCTACCAAGTAAGTGTATCCCCAAGCAACGTATATATCGACAAACAGTGTTAGTTGATTAAAGATTAGGTTGGAAGGAAGCTAGGGGTACCCAAACCAAAATAGCACCAGTCCATAAGTCTGTTTATATTTTACGAAAAAGCACCTACTAAACACTCAATACAGAAAAAAAACCGAGATTATTTTCTCATATGGTAGTTTATCAATTCAATCTACTAAAACTCCACACCTTGTTTGTTTACTTTACAGATTGGAATTCCGAGTTAGATGTACCTTTTCATGAACATGTATTTCTGGAAAACCACCTAAATAAGGAACATCTCAAGTGTAAACCATTGGCATCGTTCTTGGAACTTGTTTGCACCGGGCTTTCGAAAAACCCATATTTTAGTGTTGACGACAAAAAGCAACATCTCGAGTGGTTTACACAGTTCTTTGACGATAAGATAACACGAATAAATGTTTCCATAGAAGAAGAAGAACATATGACCAATTTGGAGAAAATCTCTAGAGGAACTTCAACATAATCTATTAATCTGTACTTTTAAAATAAACTGTTCTCTGGGAAATTCTTATGATTTTTTAAGTTTTAGAATGACTTACTAGTCACTTCATTTTAATCACTATAACTGCCAGTGTTTATAACCAAACTTGTAATTGAAGGTATGCATTTATTTAGTATGTCGAAGTCGCTACTAAACATGGACATTCCCAGTTTTATTGGCGAAGCACTAGTTGAGGACCCCTTTCCTGAAGTAGCGGTCCAAGGTGTATCAAATGAAGCTTCATTTATTCTACAACGACCTGTTACCGTGATTTTACATTACTGTATCCATTTTCTACTGCGTCAGACAGCCAATCTGCTACAACGTGGGACCGGGTTGCCAAGTAGTCTGCATCTACCAACATGGTTCAGACTAGAAGTTAGTGACTTCAAACACTGATGCCATGTTTTGGTTTGGCCGCCTCTAACTCTCTTCCAACAATCCCCAGTACTAGTCATCATGGCGCGTCGTGGTAATCGGTGTTCAGGCATACGTAACACATGGCCCAACCATCTCAGTCGATGAAGATTCATCACCTCATCAATTGATTTACCATCGTTCCCTAATACCCTGCGTCTAACCTCACTATTACTTACCCGGTGATCCCAGCAGATGCGAGCAATATTTCTGAGGCATCTGTGGTCAAATACTAGTAACCTACGAGTATCTTCTACTCTTAATGGCCATGTTTCACAACCGTAAAGTAGAACAGAGCGAACTGATGCGCAGTATACTCGTCCTTTAATTGATAGACGGACATCTCGTCTTCGCCATAGGTGACGTAGGGTGGCAAAAGCCAAACGAGCTTTTCGAATCCGTGCTGAGATTTCGTCAGGAACCAACCCATTATTGCTGATCAGACTTCCAAGATAAGTGAAGTTGTCGACGCGTTCGACTACCTCATTATCTATCCTTAGTTCAGGCGTTGACGCAGGCCAGTCCTGGAGTAACAATTAACATTTAGAGGGGGAAAAGCACATTTCAGTCGACGAGAGCGTCGCTTCCAACAGTAGGTCTATGATGAAGTTAAACAAAAGTGGGGATAGTGGACAGTCTAGTAGAACACCAGTTGAGGTTGTAAAATCAGATGACAGTTCGCCATAAGCTTTCACTCGATTAGTAGTGTTCGAATAAAGAGCCTTCACAAGGTTTATGTATTTCTGAAGTACACCTTTCAATCACAAACACTGTAACAGAACCTCTGTTTACAGAGTCAAATGCTGACTTTAATTCAATCAAAACTATCATTGTCGGACGCTGGTAAGCATGCGTGTGTTCTAAAATCTGACGACTGGTGAATGTGTCGTCGATGCAACCACGACAAGGTCTGAAGCCAGCTTGATTTTCTCGTGTTTGCAGTCTTTGTTAGGCGCCCGATACTTATTGAGGATAGTATTTTGAATGCTATGTTGGTCAAACTAATCCCTCTATGGCTATCACAGGATGATTTCGATCCCTTCTTATATATTGGGACAATAAGTGATTACGACCAGTCGAATTGGATTACGTCCAACTCCCAGATTTTAGCTAAAATATTCGTCAACTTAATCGTTAAAATTGGACCACTATATTTAAAGACCTGTGGAGCCAATCCATCTGGACCAGCTGCTCTTCCTCGTTTCAGATTAGCTATGGGTTTTTGACCTTCAATGTTCCATTCAGACTGTTTGGGAGTGGTGGGTAGCTGAAGGTCAGCCGAACTGCTCCCTGAAGTGTTCCGCCCATCGTTCTAAACGTCTTGGTTAAGAGCAGATGAGTCTCATCTTTTACCAAGATTGTCTCGCTTACAATTGACTTCTTAATTCCGTTTTCTTTTATTAATCTGGAGAGTTGTCTGGTGTCAACCTCAGCCACTACCTTTACCATCTCTTTTGCTTTCGTTGCCCACCACTGCTCGCGATCGTACCTTAGATATTCGGTTAACCTAGATCTGGTTTGCTTTCGCTCTTCATCGTGTTCAAAGCCTGATGAGATGAGTTTACGAGAACCCATTAGTGCAATGGACTTAGTAGAAACCCATTGGTTTTTCGTAACCCTATGGTTTAAATCATTAATAGATGTCACTGCTGTTCGTATATCTTTCCAAGCAACATCTGAGTCAGCCCCTTTTTCCAAACTAAGTGTGACCTCAGTTGTTCCCGGAATCTACTTTTGGCTTTTCTGTCACGGAGTTCAGTTCTAATGGGTCTTCTTAGTGTGGGATTTCTGCGTCCAATGACGCACGAACGAATGCGTGCTCGTATTAAAGTGTGATCAGAGACCAAACAGGTATTCCAGTACGACCGACAATCTTCCATCGAGCTCTTCATTTTGGCAAGGTGAGGTCAAGTGAATGACCACACTAGGATCCTGTTTGCATGTTTCGGAGACACAACATACATCAACGGTACGAGATTCTAGGGTCTTAGCCAAGGAGGCCTGTTGACCGATTTGACATAGAGTGCGGGCGTTGAAGGCTCCAATGTGTAGTTTGGAGCGAGGTTTCAGTAGACCTGGGACAGTGTTTCGCTTGAGGAGGAAGCCGAAAAAGGAAGTTTATTGTTGAAAGTCGAGGTGAAGGGAGTAATAGGAATTGAAGAAGGAGATTGGTTATGAATACAGAGATCTTGAGTGCTAGTAGAGGTATGAGGGCAGTTATCATTTCCCGGTTGCCCACACCGTGGAAGGGTTCTTCTTGAGGTACCTGAGAAGGAAATTAGGTTAGGGGTGGTCTTAATGACCTGAGAACCTGACTGCAGTGCCCGATGGACAACTGCTTGAGATCGGTCACATACGACCTTTTTGTGAGTGATTTTCGTGTTAGCTCCGTACTTGTTGGAACCATATCGCCGGAGACGGATATCTATGGGATAAGGTGAGATGTGCATTTCTAGGGTCGACATTTTCTAACCTCACCCAACCCTGCTTGTGACAAGGCAGCATTGCTGTTATGCTAGTTGTCTGAAGGAAACAACTCACTGCCGTCACACCTCTGTACAGTCAGCAGTACGACTTCGGACCTTGGGTTTGCTGGTTTTAGTCTTACCACTCTTCAACCGACCTGCCTAGCATGGTAGGATCTTGTGGAGCGATTGTTCCAGCCAGTATTGCTCGATTGGTTTATCATGATAGGCAAGCCTGGCCATCACGTCAGGGTAGCAGCAACGGTCGGGATTTTAAATAGTGGTCCAACACTGATCATTTCATGATCTTAATGCAAACTCAACAATCTCCATAACCACATACTAATTTTATTAGGTCATGTTTTACATCTTTTAGACATTCACGAACATTCTCGGAAGTTAGTGTACCTTTCAATATATTTAAAAGCAAGCAGTTACTGTGCGTGTTGCTTTCTACAATGATAACCATTCAAGTATTGATTGAGAACTAAAAAAAACATGTTCTGTAAGTTATGGTAGGCGTCCTATAGATTAATTTGACATATGTTGTCTCAAGAAAGTTTATATTCCATATGACTCACGTTTTCTTACTTTATATTTAATAAGCTGTGCAATCTAAAGAAATTTCACTGTTGCAATTTGTTAAGTTGAATTTTAGGTCAAAAATTGTTACTAATTGTTTCAACATTATCGTTGTTTCACACTATTCTGTAGTTATAAATTAAATGTGTTTTGATTTTTAGCAGTGAATTTTACTGAGCAGGCTTTATGTAATTTTATATTACAAATGAAGTTATGAAAAACTTTGCAAATTACAAACCATTATCTCAGTTTGCAATAAAGAACATTTTAATTACTCGTCTGAATAGTGACAGTGAAACTTTTAACTATGCTTTCAAGTTGTAAATAAATCCTAGTAAATGAATTCATGAACATCCTAATCTCTATGTTCCAAATGTGGTAAAAAAACTAGAAGTACAGATCTGATTAAAAGAAGATTACAACAAAAAAGATCTAAAAGGTACTTACTTTTCTAACTTTTGTTGTTAGCACTACGTTTCTATCCATTTTTAAAATATGAGTGTACGTTTACATTTGAGTAACATAAAAGATATGTATCATGCAATCTAGCGGTCTAACATTTTAGATTCTTGAACTGGAGTAAAATAATCGTTGGATTTCCCATTTTGGGTATATTTGTAGTTTTATGGAACAATATTCAGATACCACGAATAATTAAATCCAAATAACGAATGGCAAACTTTTATTGCATAATTAATTACTTACGCTCGTGACCACTCATGAATGAGCATAGGCCTCCCACCACGATCCTCCATCGAACTCTGTCCTCTGCTCTACTATTCACTGTTTCCAGTTGCTATTCATTCCTTCGAAGTTTCCTTACAATTCTTGACGAAATGTGTTCCTTGGTTTTCCTCTTTTCCGTTTCCATCCAAGATTCCAACTTGGGGCTTGCCTCGTGATTCAGTCTGTTGATTTCTTCAATGCATGTCGCATCCATCTCCAGCGTCTTTTCCTAATTTCCTCTTCAACTGGAAGCTGGTTTGTTCTCTCCCACAATGAGTTGCTGCTGATGGTACCCGACCAACAGACATAGAGTATCTTGCGTAGACAATTGTCTGGAAATAGTTGTACTTTTTTGGTGATGGTTGTAGTAGTTTTCCAGGCTCAGCCCTGTATGGTAGAAGTAACTGCCTTGACGTTCGTACTGAAGATTCTGACTTTGGTGTTGGTTGACAGTTGTCTTGAGTTCCCCAAATTATTCAATTGTAAGAATATTTTACTTGCTTTTACATTTGCATCGGATCCTCCTCGCTTACCGATGATGCTGTCTAGGTACGTGGACGTATTCACCTGATTCAGAGCTTCTCCATCAAGTGTGATTGAGTTGGCGCTCTCCATATTGTGTTCCAGAATCTTGCTTTTTCCATTGTGTATGTTGAGGCCTGTTGCCCCAGAGGTTTCTGCTACACTGGTTGTTTTGACCTGCATTTGTTCATGTGTATGAGATAGATGAGCTGTGTCATCTGCGAAGTCCAAATTTTATAGTCGCATCCAAGCTGTCCATTGTGTCATATGCTTCTCCTGAGATATGGAGGTATTCATAATCCATTCAAC